TTTCATGAATTTTATCGAATAATTTAGGAGGAATAAAAAGGAGTCAAAAAAGAAAGAAAAAAAAAAAAGAAAAAAGAAAATGACGCGAGAAAATAAAGCAAATATAAAATAAACAATAAAAAAAGAAAGAAAGCATGGAAGAAGAAAAGAAAGAAGATTCACTTGGAAGGATAGACGGAGATGAAAAATAAAAGTATAGAAAAGAAAAGAAAAGAAAAGAAAAGAAAAGAAAAGAAAGAAAAGGGAGGAAACGTTCGTTCAATTTCTATCGTCGTATTTTAAATCGAAGAGACACTCCTCGAAGTCATCGTCATTTATTTGTAAGTCTGTTGGAAATGGTAATTTCGAAGAAGCAAAGAAAAACAAAGAACGATCATAGAAACAAAGAAACAAACAATTAAACGTATTACATCGGATCGAAATCCTGTCATTAAAAAAGCACCCTAATCTCGCGATTCATCTCGTACACACGCATACATACATACATAACATCATACACGTATAATATCTCGTTCACAGTCGCTTCGAAGGGCAAATGGCATTTAAATCCGTCTATAATTCCTCACGTAATTCCGCTCTCAGCGTGAAGAAGGAAAAGAAGAAAGAAATAATAGGGAAAGAAGGTTTAATCAAATTGAAGTGATTGAGATGCACGAGTTCATAAAAAGAAAGAAAAAGAAAAAAAAAGCAAAAAAAAAGAGAAAGAAAGTGGGAGAGATAGGTGGGAAAGTGAGTATGAAAGTTTAAGGGAATGATTGTGAAAATAAATTGGAGAGAAAGAGGGAGGAAAAAATAATCGAACGGTAGAACATGTGTGAGTGTATGAAAAAGAGAAAGAGAGAGAGAGAGAGAGAGAGAGAGAGAGAGAGAGAACGTGTGTATGTGTGTGAAATTGTAGAAGAAAGAATAAGCGAAAGAAAAGGAAACAAGAAAAAGAAGAAGAACGGAGGAAGTTATATAAATATCTATATATACATATACATATACATATATATTATTTATCTATATGGATATGTATATATATATATAAATATATATACAGGGAAGAGCCAAGCGGAAGAAGAGACGCTATGTGTAAAATATTAATTACCTAATTAAAAAGAAGCCATTACTCTAAAGAGAAAAAAAAAACACGCGTAATACACATACGTTACATAATAATGTACGAAGAAACAGAAACACACGATACATACACGCGCACACACACATATATATATATACATACATAAATAAACACATACACACACATTATATATGGATAAATTAAACTAACCTATTTGTAAGCTAACGTCTACACTCTACACAACTATCCACGTATGTAAAACGATTGAAATAAACGAACGGTTAAAATTATTGTTTAAAAAATAATAAACGTATTAAAAAAAAAAAAAAAAAAAATAACAAAGGATTTATATATATATATATGTGTACGCATGGAAAAGTTATAGAAACCTAACACAATCATAATGTTATTTTACTTGACTTTATTCTTTTCTTTTTCTTTTGTTTGTACTTACTTTTTTCGTTGTTATTTTCCCCGGATGTCTCGTATTATTCCCAGAATGAATTTCTTTCGATTGTAGTATTTTTATCTACTAGAATACTCATTCTCCTTGTTCCATGGTTTTTTGTTGTTCTCACGTTGCTTGGTATCTACGAGAGATATAACCTTTTAGCACGGACATCTGTATGCAACTCGTGTACCATCCAGGATAAAGGGGGAAGGGAGAAAGAAAGATAGAAAGATAAGTATTGGAGGATGAAAAGAAAAGAAAGATGAAAGCTAGGGAAAAGAGAACACGGTGGTGGTGGTTGTTGATCGATGTGCACCATGTTACTGCGTTAATTCGCTTTTTTCTCTACCACAGTTCTATTTTTCTCCTCTTTTTTTTTTTGTTTCCTTCATTATTCTCCTTCGTTCTTCCGATTATCTACCTTTCCCCCTAGGGCATGACAAATGGTGACACGAGAAAGATGTTTCTTCTTCGATAATTAATGGTCGACAATTTAGTATTTTTTTTTAAATATTATAAGTTATCGTTAATATTGTTTATCTAAGAACAGTAAGTATAAACTTTTTCATATAATATTAGATGTCATTTATATGCAACGAAAACAACAATTTCTTAATAGGTGTCTTATCTTTTTACCTTCCTTTTACCACTAATTAGTGTATCTCGTGTTGCTACATTGAAAAAAGGATAGAAAGCAAAGTTTTCTTCCAGCTCTTCGAAACATTATTTTGGGTTGGAGAGAAAACAGGAGGTAAACTTTGTATTATATACAAAGAAAAAAAGAAAAAAAGAAAAAAAGAAAAAAAGAAAAAAAAGGAACTGAAGCTGAAGGAGAAGAAGAAGAAGAAGAAGAAGAAGTAGTAAAAGGAACGCTGGGATGCGTGTCAGACCAATTACTTCCTGCGTCTTATTATTACACACGAACTAAGGGTTGTCTACTTCCTTGATCCTCTCGTATTTCACAAGGATCTACTTTCTCACGCTTTAAAGTGTCGTTCTTTCTTCTTCACAGGACATATAATATTCCGTGAGGTGTTTCAAAGTATAAACTTTTTCATCGTATCCGCCATTCATCCGATCTCTTTTATCTTTTTACGTTTTACGATGTTACAATAGAAAATATTGCTAGTAGTTTTTGATTATCTTTTATTTTCTTGATAAAATAAATAGAAAAAGAATGTTCTCTTATTGATGCTAGTAGAAAGGAAACAAACGGCTTGTCCCTCCTTCTAATTTAAAATTCGCGCCAACGTCAGATATATAAAGAACAATTAAGTTGAAAGGGATGTAAGGGGTGCAACTAGAAACGATAAATTTCTTCGTGAAAGTTCTTTCATTAAAAGCACTAAATGCGCGGGGTCACTGAGAAGGTGGAGAAGAAGGAGGATGCATTTTTACGCTAAACGAATCGTTCAAATAAGACTAATTTTATTCGGATGAATGTAGAATAATATAAATAGTAGTAAATGTTAAAAGAGGTGGATAAATAAAATCGAATGATTTTAACACTAATGTGAGGCTTGAAATGAATTACTAATATATTTTTTATAACGTTGACAACACGTACGCTCACATCGGAGTCTTGTAAAAAAGAGAGAAATACCATAAGAGAGTCTTCTTATATGTTTGCCTAGCTCTCACACACTCATCTACGCACTCATCAATATTTACATATTGAACTTGGTTTGAACTTGGCGAAATACTAAATAAAATCATATGTGGGATTCGTGAAAAAAATTGGACCTCTGGACCGGGACTCGACTCGAACTACGGATCTTTCGCTTTCCGGGCGACTGCTCTTTTTAACCAATTGAGCTATCCACCAAGGCCCACCGACCAATCCTTCTCACGAATACTCGATAAGTTTGGCATGGAGGCGCTCGTCCCACACATATATTCTAACGAAGATTCTAATATTTACAATATAATGCATTACAACAGTAATTATATATAGTTTCTACTTCAAACAATTGCCAAAGTTATTTCGAAGGGAAAATAAAATGATGATATTATATTCTTCTAGCGAACTAACCCCATTGTTTCTATCGATCGTTGCATTAAGTTTGTTAATTCGATAATAAGCACGTACTGGCTTGAATTCATCGAAAATCCTACTTAGAATTCGATCGTAGTAAATACCTTTCAAATTTGGAATCCAAATGAGATGAAGAACACGAAGAGAGGAAAATGAAGAGAACTATTAACAATTACGTTTTACTCTACTAGGGAGAAATTAATTAAACGTTGTCGATCCTTGTAGAGTAACTTTGCAAAATTCTCTCGTAGATTCATTTGAAGTTTTACAGATTAAAACGGGAAAGAGATCTGGCAAACTTGTGTATTACGATAAGTGAAACATAAGGAGTTAGTAAGTATTTCTTAATTTACTGCTGTTGCTTGAAAAAATTTCATAATGATTAAATCACTATATGTATGTATGTATTTAATGGATTAAAAAAAGAGATTGAAAACACGCAACACTTTGTTTTTTATCAAACAGAAGAAGAGTTTGAAAAAGAGAATAGGGAAAAATCGGGTCAAACCAGTTTGTGGATTTCCGTTAGCTGTTAAAATCACGCGTGTGTTAATCTTTCGTCCAAACATGGAATAAGCCAGGAGCGTGTTTAAAAAGAAGCTTCGTTGGTTGGTATATCGATGGATTCTCTTGTGTGTTTCCTGGTTGCGATCGAGAATCGTGGTAGCAGGCAGTGAGGTTCGCGATTCGTTGGAAAATCGATTAGGTTGGTTTGAAAATTCGCAGGATGGTCGATATAATCGAGAGAGAGAGAGAGAGAGAGAGAGAGAGAGAGAGAGAGAGAGAATTTGGGGAATCGGAGGCGTACAAGGTGGAATGAAAGAGAGAAAAAACGAACGGAATTTAAATTCACCTTTGAAAATCACCGACACGTTTTGTTGCCGTTCTAAGTTAAAAACAATCAATTATCGGCTATCGATCATTGAGCCTTTCAAATATCCTCGATGATCCTTTTTTATTTCCTTCTTTTTTTATTTTTAGAAAGATTTTACCAGAGAGAGAAAAACAAAGTAAAAAGTATAAAATAAAAAAAAAGGAAAAAGAATTAGTAGTAGTTTTTAAAGAGGGTAACATCACTTGTGTAAAAGACTTTATTCGAATAAAATGAAATTATTGACTGATATATAAGAGTTGGCAGGGGGGTTTGAAATGTGTTCTGTAAAAACCGCGTTATCGTGTCTACTCGTCGTCTCGACTCGAACGCTCGATTAAAAAAACATCAAAGATTTTACTTTAAAAAATAATTCTTACCGGTGATAAAGTACTCGACCCTTTTTTTTCCTTTTTTATTATAAACCAAACAGTTGTCGAGTTTCTAGATATGAAGATAAAGCTTTGGAAACAAGAAAGTAACATAGTTTAGATGGTTGATCGAGCGAGAAGGGTAAAGAGGAAGATAGATCTATAGAAATGGATAGATAGAGAAAGAGAGGGGGAAGATAAACCACATCGAATGTTTCGAGGCGGTGAACGAGATCGATTTGCGGTAATCGAGCGGACGTCGAAAATCGGGGGTGCTTTGTTAGTTACGCCGAAGACTAAAACGGAATTAAGGGTGGACCTTGTATTTCTCTCCGTCTCTCTCTCCCTCTCGTCACTTGTTCCATTGGAATGAACGTTAACCACGAAGCTACTAATTGAAGACTGATTTGCCATGGAAGGGTTGAAAAGCAGACTTAAAAGTATCTTTTTAACAAAGAAAAGGGAATTTCCTCCGTTAACTTAATTCTTAAACAGGTCGTAGATCAACTACCCTATCTACACATTTATTCGCATATACCAATGACAAATTGTCTCATTTTCAGCTAATACTTCCTCAAGATCGGAAATAAATTTACAGTAAAAACAGTGTGTCACAATTTTTCAATCAATTTGGAACATATGTCACTTTTGAAAATGAGATTGTTCGTATTTTGTATACTGTACTTCAACGTTTTTGGGTATAATCATTCGGAAATCGTTAAAAGAACTACGAGAATAATTTCTTTTAGGAAGGGCAGCACTTTTTTTGTAAGTATTTTTAAAAGGTTTGTTTTATTATTTTTTATATTATTATATTATATAATTGTAACGATACGCTATTACTCAACGCGTCGTCATCGTCGTCGTTGTTGTTATCTACAAATTTTGAAGGAAATTTAATTATAAAACTTGATTTTCTATACGAGGACGTTACGGTATCGAGATAATGAAAAGTTTCACGTCCTGGATAAAAGGTAGACAAGAACACATCGGATTAAATATATCGTTTTAAAAGCAAAAACGCGCGAAGAAAGATGCGGGAGGAAGAAAATAAAATCAATTAACGTTGAATAAGAAATCAGATATAGCGAAAGTACGAAATTCAATTATTAATATAATATTAAACCATTAATTCTGTATTTTGGTATATTTATTGTAAAATATTTAGTTAGATGTTGACGAGCAAAGATGAGATTGGATTTAAATGTCGTTTTCTTGTTGTCTATCACCTGTCTTTTCTACCGTTCATTGCGCACCAACTATTAAATTTAAAACGTTGTAGAGCATTATTAAATCTTTTTAAGTCCCATTTAAACCGAATATATCCGATCTGACAATTTTTACTATTATTCGCGGAAATCGGATTTACTCTCATTCATCTAGCTCCACCACCAACCATCCTCCACCCTCGCCATAATTTCTATCTCTCTCGAGTCTCTCTGTTCGTTTTCTTTCCACCCCTGTTTCAACCATTAGTTCTGTCTGTCATTCAACGTAATCCAACGAAACGAATATAAGTCCATAGGAATTTCAATTTTCTTTCATCTTCGTGAATTCCTTCGAGTCGATTAAATATTTTATTTCTACTTCTCATGCTCGTTATAGCGATACAGGAACTTTCCTAAAACAAATACATTACATATTAACTAATTGACGTATAGTAATACTGTCTCTATTTTGTTCATACTTAAACCGATTATTTCATTAATTTTATTTCATTTCAAGAATTAACATAGTCAACATATATATACACTTACGCATATATGTATATTTTATAAGACGAAAAAAAAAAGAAAGTGTAGTTATACTTGGTAGCAAGCAGTCTAAATCCGTGGAAAGCTTTACTAATGAAGCCGCCTGCCTGGACTTCCTTTGATGCGCTCATCGTCATCGTAGCAAGCTTTATAAACTCTCTCGGTAGAGAATATCGAGCGGTCTTCTCTCCTCTTCTCTTCTCTTCTCTTCTCTTCTGGAATTAACCCGTGTACGACAACGGTGCCGCGGGGACATAGATTTTTCATTAGATTTTCCTCTCAACTTTTCTTCCATCTTCCTACGATGAGACATAAGGAGAGAAACAGAAAGAAAACTTACCATACATATTTATATTATATATAAAGGGTGTATCTATTGCAATCATCATAAAGACTTAATTAACATGCAAAATCTCGGTGTTTTGTTCTTTTTTTTTTTAATGTACTTTTCATGTGCAGCTTTTACTTGAAAATCGATACAAATAAAAAAGGAGAAAAAAAAAGAAATTTTCATTTCAGCAGACGATTCGTTTCGATTTGAAGTCCAGTTAACATTCTAGAACAGCACCAGGTGTTTCGAAGCATCCCTTTCTAGTTGTATATCTATCCACGTGGTGATACGGTGAAATAGGGTTGGTTGGTTGGTTACTATGAAGGGAAATGGGCTGGGGTGGATCCATCCTTTAACGATGGAAGAATTATGGCGGCGGTAAGCACCGATACGGTGGCACACTTACGACCGAGTGCACGGTAACGTCAATGAAACTACGCTGTTTAGTAGCTGCACTTTCTCATGCCAAAGACGACGACGACGACGACGAAGACGACGACGAAGACGAAGACGACGATGTTTCGTAAGAGCATCCTGCAAAAGACGATCGTATATAACTTTATTTTTCGTTCGAGACTCTTTGAAAAGAAAAGAAAAAACAAAAAGGTCGTTTGTCAAATCCAAACTGTGGCAAGAAGTTAGGCTGACTTTATTTTCTATATCACGAAGAAAAATGTTGGGAAAAATGATCGAAAAATGATCGACTCTTGTTACTGTATTACATGGGACAAAATTCTAATCAAATTTTTACGTGTACTTGGTGGAAAGGAGAGAGTACTGGCAAATTTTTTGTATAAACATTGAAAAAAAAAAAATGATTTGAATGTAATTTGCATATATAGAAAAATCGTGAATTATTTAGGTGAAGATATTTGAAAAGGAAAGTACAGTACCATGCGCGTGTATAAGTGTTGTGTGTATATACTAGGGCAATTGGAAGACCGAAGGGAGGACGTTTTCGCGATACTATCCTGAAAGGCATTCTCGATTTATCACTCAGGCTTTCTCTCAAGGGAAAACGAGTGGATGCATTTTACTCTGAGCGTCTTTAAGAATGCAAGGAGAATTATGAAAGTTCGCGATAATGCGCCAGCCCTGTTGTAGAGTTCGTGTCTTTGCGAAGAAGAGACCCTGAGAGAGGGTTAGGGCTCTTGGGTCGTCCTATCTATGTATATAAACCAATCGAAATTTGTCATTGTCGTCCTGGTTTCTATCGATCCTTTGCTAAGAACACCCAAGAAGAAGAGGAAGAAGAAGCATCCTTGCAATATGCAAATATTTTACCATGATTCATCATTCACGATTTTTCTATATATGTAGTTCGAACAAAATCATTATAATGTTCTTTTCATTTGTTCTTTCTTCAAATTAATTTTCATTTATTTTGATACGAATTATAGTACATCATAGATTAGAATTAGTTGAGTCTTGACATGTATTGTTATACCCATAACAAAGAGTTCCCGGTTCAGTTCTTGTTCCCTTCTCCCTTTAATATCTCTTCCTTTAGATGTTCACCCTCATCGAAATCATTCCAATCTCCCTTCCGCGATAAATCATTTAAGTTTCATCCTCGTAGATGTACACGCATACATGGAAAGGATTTTCCAAGAAGACACGTGCCTATAAGTCATAGAAAATCTCTTAGATTTATCACCCTTATTCTTTCCAACATTTGGAAGCCTAAGAGCGATCATATTCATGGAAAATTCCATGCTAAATTCAACCCACGTATAATCGTAATCCTTCTACGATCAAATCAAACTCGTTGAGAGGATAGAAGAAATATTTGTCGATGCATTACTTATTGAAACTTATTGAAATGAAAACTAAAGAAAGAACAAGAGTAATCGTCATTTGGAAACGTTGATGTTAGGGAAGTGTAAAGTAGGTTGTAGGTATTACATGTTGGTAGTAGTAAAGGTGATGAGGATGATGGTGATGGGGTAGTGGTTGTGGTGGTAGTGGTGGTAGTGGTGGTTGGATGTTCGGTTGACAAACGGCTTGCCAGATCCAGGCGACGAGCCTCTGGCTCCCCTATCGTGCAAGCGTTGCCTTTTGCCACGTTTACACGAGTGCAATACCTTCACGATATAGAGTTTAATAGCAACTAGAGCCAGTACCACCTGGCCTTGCCACTATGTTTCTGCCAACTTTCTCTCGGCTACTGTGTAACAGAGGGAAAAAGGGTAAAGGGGTTGTACGTCTATGTTTTTGTGTGTGAAAACTAGTCGTGGAGAGTTCGTTCGTCCTTTCTTTTGATTTTGATTTTTCACAAGCTTGCAAAATCCCAGTGGAATTGGAGACGGTGATAAAATGGAAAACGCGTCGCTTCAAAGCCGGAAGTCACAGAAAGAGAGAGTGATAGTGTGAGCGGAGAGAAAAAGAAAACATATTCTAAAGGGTAGGCTGTTTCTTAACGTCAAACGAACAACCCAAAAATGTCTTTTATTCTACTTGGACCATTTGGTTATTCTTTAAAGGACTGCATTCAAAGTACTTCTCGTTTAAGATGAGAACAAAAAAAGAATAACTCTAAGAGATACATATACTCCTATATCAATTTCAAATGTACCTAAACGCGGATTTTATTTCTTTTCTTAACCCTTTCCTTCCAGGCTTTATTTATTTTTCTCCACTCTCTTTCTTCCTTCCTTCCTTCCTTCCTTTCTCTCTCCATTGCTTTTGCATAAACTTGGAAAATTTGTAGAATTTCGTTGGTTCGACGTACTACTCAAAAGCATCTTATCGTATTCCCTATCGTATTCTATTGATCCGGAAATGGATTTACGTGGAACTTGTTTCAGTTACTGCTATACATAAGGACCTAACATAGGACCGCGAGGAAACGGAATAAGCATATCAAGTGTATTGCAAGACGATAACGAAACTTGTACTTATCTTTATTTTTCAACCATCATTAAAACAACCCAACTTTCTGGAACAATGTAATTATCCTTCGACTACGTATATTTTGTTGGAATATCCTACGAGATTAAATAGATAAATTGTGTTCTGCGAAACAGATTTCATTACTTAGAAATCCTTAGGACGGATTTTAAGTATGTGAAGACAAAAATTCGTTCGATAAAAATATTTTATAAATAATATATATATACATTTCCGAATAGGTGGAGATATTGAAATTTGTGTAAAGAAGATATTAATCAAATATTCACTTTATGTCGGTATAACATTCCCTTTTCGAAGATGCTCCAATATGAATAAGTTTTCTTTTTCCTTCCATAGGTACGGTATGAAGAAATAGAGGGTGGTAGGAGAAAAGTGGTGATGACTTTAGTGGTGGTGGTGGTGGTGGTGGTGGTGGTGATGGTAGCAGGGTTTCGATAGTTTCGATGTAGTAGACGTAGCTTATCCGAACCATAGTAAAAATATTCCATATTTCAGTCTCTCAGCAGGCATCGAAGCGAAGCTGGAAGAAAACCGATAGAAACTGAACGAACATGCGTTTATGTGTGTGTAGGATATACGTGAAAGTTTTCCTTTTGAGAACGCAATCCTTGTAATACGGAAACTATAAATATGGCTACCACGGCATGTGTTAAACGTTTTCTTTATTTCTTTATTTCACTTCTCTATATCTGTCTCATTCTTTCTTTCTTTCATTTCTAAAACCGTGTCTCACACAGTCACTGTTGCATACTCGGCAGAAGTTTCGCTCAGCGAATTGCGATTCCCACGATTTGACACTTTTTTTTATTTTATTTCACAGTCTTTCCCTTCTCTTTCTCTTTTTTCTTATCGTATCTTCTTTGTCTTCAACATTTCCAGTTGAGATTTTCTATGTTAAACGATAATGCTGTGCAACCGCGATGCACCGAACATGTGCATATGCCCATACAGAGTAAATTCATACAACACGTAACCGTGTCACTCTACTTCAACGTTTTCTAGTTTTCTAATGGTGCTACCTATTCTTTCTTTTTCTTTTTCACTCCTTTCCCATTTCTCATACCGAATATCTCAAAACGATTTGATTACACGTACGATATCAAAATATTCATTTAACGAAATATTCAACGTCTCAAATTGTCTACGTATGATTCGGAATAAATTGATAATTATCAATTTTTTAAATGTTATCCTTTTTTATCCGCTTTCTTGAATTTATGGAAAATCTGTCAAAGGGGTTTTCTTGTCCTTTGTGTTATTAAAGCTTAGGGTGATGCCAATGCTCTCGGAATTGCTGATTTTGTTCTTCTTCTTCTTTTTTTTCTTCTATTCATTATACCGTAATATGTAACCTTTTCCAACGTTGCTCATAATGTTAAGCAAACTGGTATGGTTGAATCTCTAGGAAACTCTCATATTGAATTCTCTTGATATTTTCCCCCCCTTTTTTTTTTTTTTTTTTTAAATTCTTTTCTCTTTCATAATATCGTTTCTTTTTATCGTTTCATCTATCCTTTAGATATTTTTCCCGTTATTATTTTCTTTATCAGCTTATTATTCTCGTACCGGCAATAAAGCTTCTATCGCGATAAAAGAATTTTTATTTATAATGAAATGATTTTCCTTCAAACTTAAGTCTTATGTTTGACGATAAAAATGATGATAACCTATATGCGTATTTATAATATGAATTTAATTTGAACTTTAGTACAGAATGAATTATAAGATAACATCGTTCCCGGAGAAAACACCGATTTTCGCTCAGGCTGCTGGTTTCAAAGTCGCATGGGAATTGCCAACAAATAACGTCTTGGACAATCGCGTTGGCAGATCCCTCGCGGAGATCCACAAATCCGCGAAGCTAGTTTACCAAAGGTAATAAACAATTAAATAGGAAGTTAATAATGGAATGGACGACTAAGATCACTGGATGGATATGTATATAGAATTGAAGAGTTCTCTTGAAGAGAGTTCCGCGGTAGAAAAGTGCTTTAAATATTGGCCAATGCAATTTCGTTTTGTCTTTTCCAGAGGGAAAGACAAAACCATTACCTAAGTTTCCATTGAAAAATAAAAATTGCTATAAATTGATATTAAGTTTGGACAAATCTATTGGAAATATTCTCCTTATTTTTGTTTTAGTTTTGTTTGAAAAAAAAATACGCGATATGTTTCAGTCACGGATTTGATGGGCACTCTTGTCTCTTGAAGAACATTTGCCATATTTTAGAGTACGTTAAACGAAATGACGGCGTTATTGCGAAGATATTGAAATTATTCGTCGGGTAAGCGTTTCGCATATTAATATCAATTACACGTCTCCGGTATTAATCACGTTCCGTTTTCAGGCCGTACATTAATAACGACACGTCGACCAATCCTGGATCGTCGGATTTCTGTCGCGTTCATCTAGAAAATTGTCCATTACAATTTCAAGGGGTCAACGCTTTTTCCGACAAAATTTACGATCTTTGATAATGTTATTTCTAAATCAAGAGGATTCTACATTTACGATTTTTTACTTTATTCTATTTCGAAAATATATTCAAGATAGATTACTATAATTACTTTCAGTTCGAGATCGGATAGTTAATATTTAATGATCTAATATTAAATATAGAATAGTTGAATTTGTTAACAAATATTCATCCGTGTATTCGTAATTATAAGATTACGTAAGTTATAAAAGTTCATGCGAATATTAAAGCTTTAACGGTAATTTAAGCACTTTAACTAGGACAACCTAACGACTTCTAATTCGTAGTAATTTTACGCGTTATAAGCGGCTACACTGTTTTAATAGAGAGAGAGAGAGAGAGAGAGAGAAAGAAAGTTTCTTTCCTTTTTTACAACGGAATTTAAAAAGATGCTCGTGTTGAAAATTCTCTTTTCACCTGTGAAAATTTCATTTTTTCGCGACGACCACGATGATTAGTTGCTTTGCTGTAAAGTAGAGCAACTAATTTACTTTGTAAATGTATATCAAAGATAAACTTTTTCAACTAATATTTTATATCCTTCTTTATTTTCTTTTAAACGATCGTAGATAATTTCCTTATCTGTGTATAATTGGATTTCAAATTTCAGTATAATGCTTTGACGTGCATTGAGTTGGCTGACAACATTTCTCAATTCCCATACATCCATTCTCGAAGAAATTCTTGTTCTCTTTTAGTTTGACTTGCATTCTGTATCCTATGCCCATATCGCGTCATGTCGTTCTACCAACAGACAGAGAGTGCTTATAATTGCATCTGGCGGTCCCGTTGGTGGCCACGTTAACGAAAAGCATTAATTTACAATGCTCTGTGGTTTTCTTCTCAGACAAGCAAATACTCATACAACTCCCATATCCAATTAACGGCTCGCTCGTTTTCCCACGATGAGCTATGAAACGACGAAATAAGAGTCGCCTATCTACTTATAGTCCTTTTCTTATTTGATTTTTTTATTTTTTTCAATTTTTTTATTTTTACATACGATAATATACGTTCTCTTTTTTCCTTCTTTCTATATATTATTTATCTACTGTGCAATTGCAAATGCTTCACAGGTAATTAAAAGTGAAAAAGAGAGAAGCAAACTTTAAAAGACATCCGATTATTGACTTTCCTTTCAGTTTCTTAATTGCTTTTAACAACTTAAGATAGAAGTGGGAAATTTTTCCGTATTTTTGTGACATCTCCGATGTTTTTCTTCTATCAAAAGATCGAGATTTGACGATAGAGATTCTAGGATACGAATTCGAATTGCTTTTCATTCGAAACGAAAAGATTCTTTTCAAAACACAAGATGGAAAGGAAATAAAAAAAAAAAAAAAAGAAAAAGAAAAAAAAAGATTTTCGTCAAAGAGACACACAGTTCGCCCTTTTGAAAGGAAAAATTCATTTACGCGTCGCAAATTTCGATCAAAGATTTATACATACCCTACGAACACTTTGGTTCTTTATTTTGCTTTTCCTTTTTTTTTTTTACTTTTTTTTTTGCTTCTTTTTTTGCTTTTTTATTTGCTTTTTTATTTTCTTATCGTCAATTTTTCAAGCAAGGCACGCGAAGAATAACATTTTTACCGGTATACACTTTAGTTTTTTATCTCCCACTCGTAATAGCAACCTGATAAATATTTTAAAGAGAAAGTTACGACTGCACATAAATGGATCTTATGTATATCCATCTTCACTCCTTTCTTTCTTTATTTCTTTATTTCTTTATTTCTTTCTATCTTTCTATCTTTTTATCTACGTTTCTCATAGAAAATGCAAAAGGAATGTTTACATCAAGCAGACGTGTTTATTCTTCCTCTTTTACCAACGCAACTACCTTCAAGGCTTCCTAGATTCAGTTTTAGGAAAGTAAAGCAACGCTTTTCAAATTCATTCCATGCCGTATTTAATCTTTCGTATTCATGAATAATAGGAAGGGCAGATTAGAGAAAGAGAAAGACTGGAAGAAAGGAAGAAAGGAAGAAAGGAAGAAAGGAAGAAAGGGAAAACATTGAAGCTGTTCGTCTTTTGTACCAATTTTCCTTTATCTTTTAATACATTACGCCGATCTATTAATCTAAGAATTTGCCTATAAAGATAGTCTCTTCATTTACATTACATTAACTCTTTATTATTTATCTATATAACTACTTACTTGCTTACTTTCATATGGAAACATGAGATTTCAAACAAAATAACTCCAATTAAGAACCTTTTATCATCCAATTAGATTCCTATTTATGAGAATATTTAAGATTATAAATGAAACTTTTACAAATATCTTTTGATAGAAGCTTTGAAGGAGCATTAAATAGAAAAAAATGGAATTTTTATTAAATTACCTGGCACGATCATTTTCAATGTATACACCTTGAAATCTCTGGGGAGATGTTATACAATTTTTAACATTTTTATTTTATTCCCGACTTCTCATTCGTACGAAACTGGCCCGTCGACGACAGTTGTTAGAACAAAATCAAATAACCAGTCAAACCTGTGTACACGTATACTTGGTCATCCACCTCTTGCAGAAATGTTTGAACGAGAATTCAAACAAATATGCTTCGAGAAGAGATATTACCGTTACCGAACACTCAGAAATCACCAAAGAAAACATTATTCTCCATCTTTCTTTTTCTTTTTCTTTTCCATTTCATCCCATCCCGAGTTGTTTAGTAAATCTTGAAATCTTCAAGAAGAAACTAAACCAAGCAACAGCTACCAGCAGACCTTTGAGATACCGTTCAATCTACCTACTTCGTGAGCTATAATTCGTTAAATACGAGTCCAATCATCTAATCGAGATCACATTGTTGAAAATGACACGAACATAAGAGACATGAGTTATTTTATTTTTATTAATTTAATAGAAATCTGATTTTTTGTAAACGATCGATTATTATTAAATCTATTTACATCCTTCCACTTTTACGATTCTCGCAACACGAGATTCTTTTCTTCTACAAGCTTCTTTGAGGTTTCTCGATTAATTTAAGTTTTTCGAACAATCTCTCTCGGGATCGTGAAAAGAAAAAGAAAAGAAAGAAAAAAAAGGAACAACGATGAGAGGAAAAATGAGGAAGTATAAAGTGAGTTTATTTATGTTATCGTAGAAAAATTTGTAGTAAATGCATGGTGAAATCATTTATTATTTGCGCGCGTCATTTCTTTCCTTTTTTGTTGTTGTTGTTGTTTTTTTTTTTTTTTTTTTTTTTTTTTTNTTTTTTTTTTTTTTTTTTTTTTTTTTTTAATGTAAAAATGCTTCTAATCATTCGTAAAAATGATTGATCATCTTGAAATAAATGAGAACGTAGATAATCGTTCTTCATAAATCGTTTGTTATTTGGATTATAATATTTTGTATTAGATTTTGGATAAATCATTTTAACTAACGTAAGATAAAAATGAAATTGACGAAGTTTGAAAAATTGGAAGATAATGAAAGTGCGTTTGATGTTAAAGTGAAAGATCGTTGAAGAAATCAGTTGCTTCCGTGTATGCTGTTGTAACCTGGAAGTGACGTACAAAGGATTCAGGAAAATAGAGGAAAATAAAGTTTTGACTCAAGTCTACTCGAAAAGATGAGAAGTTTCCGTCGTTCTTTTAGTCATCTACTCGTGATCGTATGGTGTTTGGATTTGTTCGTTTTATACGCTAGCAGCTTCCACGAGGATGTACGAGGAAATTCCGCGGAAGTCGAGGTTGCTCGGAGAATGCACTCACGACAAAAGAGGTATCTGATCTTCCCCGAAGGTAGTAACTTACAGGTAAATAACGTTGCTGGAATATCTAACAATTATTCCTTCGGATGCTTTCCGTACCAAATATTCATATAATAGAAAATAAAATAAAGTACTCCGTTCTATACACACATTATACACACATTATATATATATCGAAATCATTGGAGATATAGAATTTTCGCGCGTTTAGCGTGCATGAATCGACAGAAATCCAATGTGAAGCGTACGTATATCGTCTAGTATAGAATAAATGCATATACATATGCACAAAGGTAACATTTCACCTAACAAAACAAACACGCGTACAGCAGATAAGCATAGATAGATCTAGATACATTTATATATACATTCATATATATAAATCTGTTTTAGTTAGTGTACTGCTTGACTATCGGAGCGTATGGCAGAAACGATGATTTGGTGATGGGTCTGACAGCAGCGTTGGCTTGGGAACTTCCGAGTAAAGTCGACTCCAAGATATCGGATTTACTTCACCGTAGAAGCCGAAGTGTCATGTTTCCGAAGGTTGAAGCTTTCTTGCAGTCGTGAGTACCTCGCGGTTTCTAAGATTGTTACTTCCAAGTGGAGTTAAAGTAATTTGTCGTTGTCCAAACTCTTGGAAGGAAAATTAAATTCGTTTCCTTCTCTTGCGAGTACAGAACAAGAAGAACGAAATATCAAACACACACACACACACACACAGAGTCACACACCTTAGAAAATGGGAGGATGATCTTCGTAACGTTTCAATTTGGCCATTTCAAGTTAACGAAAAGCTCGCGAAAATCAACGCTCAAATAAAAAGGGATTTTGGTCTCGTTGTTTTTCTTTTCCTCGCGATTGCAACTTAGAAAAAAAGAAGAAAAAAAAAGAGAAAAAAGAGAAAAAAGAAAGAAATAGACCGACCGACGGAAGTTATCCTCGAGGCAACGAAAATAACGGGAGACTTATGGCGTTGTATTCCGTAGGAAATGGGCCGCCCTTATCCCACGTAAATCCACGGAGAACTAAAGCAATCTTCCACTGTCGAAGCAACGAGCTTTCTCTTTCTTTCTTTCTTTCCTACATATTTCATCCCTCTATTTCATTCTCTTTCTCTTTTTCTTTCACACGTTAAGCTACAACACATACATATATAAAGATGACGCATCAAATCGATCGAGTTATTTCTATCGCGAATGAAGAAGAATGCGGTTACGATTTTCCACACGTTTAACACATTTTGACGTTCGTTCTTTCTCGAGGTTCCAAATCTACCAAGATAATAGTAATCCTTTCTCTCATGGGAATACGGGAATAACGATGCGAAAAAAGGGACCTTCCTTCTTTCCTTCCAACAGAACACAAAAATAATAATCTTGTTTACGAATCAGTCAATCGATTGACAACAAAATCATTCTCTTTTTTTTTGTTTTTCTATTTTTTTCTATTACCAACTAGAAAAAGATTCTCTCTCGTTTTCAACTTATCTCGTTAAGTAGTAGGAAACTTTAGTGATTAATTGTTTTACAAAGAAGAGACGGAGGAAGAGTAAGAATGGGTGGGTTAGGTTTTAGGGAAAGTGTTGGTGATAGTTCGTTTAATCCAACAACATGACGTGTTCTCATCGAACTTTGCTATAGCAGAGAAGTGGATTTTAAATTAAACTTTATCGATAGCACTGGTATCGACGGAAGATCCTGCGTAATGAAGGCCCTGTGCGAGGCAGGCCAAAGACATCCATCTCAAATTGGCAAGGGAACTTTTATTCAAGAACTCCTGCACGCCATTTTTACGTAAGTCTCAAATCCTAGCATTTACATGAATTATTTCAATAATTATAGAAAACTATTTGAACAAAATCAAATGGATCTAACTTTTATCTTTGATATTCCAAATGTTGCTCGTATTACTAGATTTTAATGTGTCACTTTTTTTTGCTTGATCTTTTCTGAAATTGTAAGAAAACGCTGTGACAACGACGCCATCGCAGGAAGTTAACGTTTTTCTCGAGTTTCCTTCCTCTTTTATATTCGCTCGACGTTAACTTCGGTGTATATTTCACTTAGCTGTTAGACGTTCGTTTAAAGTGTTTTATGCAAAGTTACGCTGGTTCCTTCTCCTTTCCAGTCCACATTTTCCTCGATATCGGACGATTTAAATAAGCAAACGAACCACCCTTCCAACAATCCCTTCTCGTGTTCCTTCCTCTTTCACTTTTTCCTTGCACATGCATAGAAATTCGCAAAAGTACTGCGAAGAACGCGAAACTCTGACAGGGGGATGGAATAGTTTGGTAAACGAGCAAACAAAATCCCTAGGAAAAAGATAACGAGAGAGCAAAGGAAGAAGGTGAACGGCGGAAAATGATATTGGTATCGTTTAGCAATGCTTATAAATATGAACAAGAAAAATGTTGTTTGTTTTTAGATTACCAAAAGATGGTGGCAAATTCGAACGTTTTGAGGATCGAGCTTACGATGCAGCGTATGAAAAGGGTGGAAACTGTAAGGAACTTTATCCAACGTGTCGGCACTCCATTTACAATGTGGATCTTTGAGATCGGAATAGGCGAGGCGAGAAATCGTAAGAAAACGTGTGCGATGCTCACGGTGTAAGAAAAAGCTCACCGCCATGCTCCTCGACCGTTCGTTCCCCTAAGATCCAATAGGGCAAAACTTTTCTAAACTGACGTAGAAATGTGCTTCACAACTTTTTTCTTTTTCTTTCCTTTTTTCTTTCCTTTTTTTCTTTCGTATTTTTGGCTCCACTCCAATCGATCCTTTCGATTCGTCCGGATGGGAAAAGGATAATGTTTCAACTTCCGTCAAAATTGTTCAGATCTTTTTACCTCCCGGCGATATCTTAAGAAAGACCCTAAGGAAATTACACATTTTTCTTTTAACTTCACTTTTATTACATTTATTTTCATCACACATCTAATCATTTAGTTTGTGAGGAAAAAAAAAGAAATTATTATTTATTACTAATTAATGTTCATAAATAAAACATAAACGATATTTAATCTTGTGAAAATTCTTATTCATCGATTCTATTTTCTTCCCAATATTTTCTAATAAAATCGCTATGATCATCGTAATATCCTTTTTCCCTTATTCCTGTTTTTTTTTCTTTTTGAATATAAGTTCTTGGTTTTTTCCAAGCATCTTCTTGGAAAAAGGCATCCGCATCGTATTTTGTGGAAAAACGTTTTTAGTCGAGTTCATTGGGACCCCAACGTCAAAGGCGAAATGCTTCTAACATTTTGGCTTTTCTTTTTTTTACAATTTTGAAAAAGTAATAGCCTCCTACTTGAACAGTTTTATCTTTGATCAAACTTAAGGTTAAAGTTTGACCGAAGTTTATTCGGTTTGCGTTGATCAAAGGAAGATCATCCTGGCGAATCTTTTAATCTTTCAAAGTGTAATTACCGTTGAAATCTTAACATTTTCTTTATTCGATACTACACCCTTGAAATTAATTAATTGAAATCGTTAAAAAAAAAAAAAAAAAAACCAAGTTAATACGTTTCGTTTATTTTCAATTGTATCATTAAATAAATTATACGATCAGAGATTGAATTAATCGAAACGGAAGCAAAGGTGATATCAATGGAACTTTGCAATTTGAACATACGACCAGTGTCACCACGTTAATGTAACGCGAAAAAATTGGGCAAATGTTGGTGACAACGAAAAGTCAAGCTTTAAAGTTAAAATGAAAAAATTCGTTTTACATACATGAGAACGTCGAGGTAAATATTTTCTTATTTAAATTTCATTATTCTCTAGAGAACGATATTGCGTTTTCTTTTTAGCAACAGCAACGGCATTGGTTCATTTTATTAGAAGAGAAAGAGATCGAATTGAAGAAGGAAGATAAACGAAAGAAGAACAAATTTCGATTGATTTTCAAACGATAGCTCGTTAAAAACAAGAAAAAGAAAAAGAAAAAGAAAAAGAAAAAGAAAAAGAAAAAGAATCAAAGTAATTGGAACCGAACGATTAGGATGTAAATAATTTTCGAAACTAATCGAACGAACGAAAAGTTCGAACAATGCGATGTCTCACCTCGCCTACCCTCTTCCTACCTAGTCCTCCCACCCTATCATTCTCCCCAACTCTCTCATGAATATTCCAAACCGGTCATTATATTACGTCGACGGTCCGTATAATTCATTTCGGTGCGGCTTCGAATAATTTTCGCGACGTTTTGCATTAATAAAATGGCCACTCGACTATCGTCAATTTATAGCTCATTTCGTTGGAGTGGTCCGAGCGCGCACAACTCGTTCCTACTTTTTTTTTATTTCTTTTTTTTTTTTTTTTTTAAACCCCTTTACCTTTACCACAATCCACCCAACCCATATCTTTTTTGCCATCCTGTCGCCGCGTCAACAAAATATTTAATATTAGTTTTATCCAGTTTAGGGATAAACGATAGGATTAGGTTTCTAGTGTGTACTAAGAGGGTTCTGGAATATAACGTTGTTTGCTTTAATCATTCTATTTAATCAATATTCCTTATTTTTAGTGAAATGATTATTATTATTATTTGTATTTACTGCAGAGGGGATTCTATGATTGAACCAGGCTCTTGGCCATAGTCCATAAAGACCGTGCTTAAATTCGAGTCCGTGCGAGTCGAGAAAACATTTCAAAAATCGTAACGCACGTATCCCTTCAAATTGAATTACCGGAGGGATGCTAATTTAGGAAAATTATGCAATCGGTGTATCGCGTGCGCTAAATGGTTTTGCTTTCTTTACTTTTTTTCTTTCTTCTTTTAAAAAAGTACGTAGCAGCCGACGTGAATTATTTAACGAGCTAAGAAAATAATGATTACATTACGTTAGGATTATGAAATATCATTTTTTTTTTTTCATTCCAATTTTTGTTTAGCATGAGTACGTATCTAAATACGTGTATTTCATTAATTGAAAACATCGGAGAAGAGACAAAACAGAGATAAAGAAAGAGAGAGAGAGAGAGAGAGAGAAAGAGAATATCATCGATCTTGTTAACCTTGCAATAAACCGCTATAAATCGTATTTGATGCGATACAAGAGTATAGGGGGTTTAAATTAATATTCATACGCTTTTGAAAGCACCCACCGCCGATTCGTTTATGCGAATTCCATCCGCGCGTGAGTGCGTGTGTTTGTTGTTGGGACGACAACGACAGGAATATTGGAGGAGGAGGTGCGGGTGCTGGTGCGAGTACGGGAGCGAGTACGGGAGCGAGTACGGGAATGGCAGGTTGAGAAGAGGGCTGGTTGGTGTTAACATACTTAATAGTCCGTTTATACCCCCGTGCGATTTCTCTCAGCCTTAATGGATGTTAAATCATTGTTTAGGATCGCTTTACCGCTAAAATCACGAGCGTAAGCGCGGAAATCGAGAAACTATTCTCTCTCACGGTGTGCTCCTCTTCTCTTCTCTTTCGCTCTCTTTTACTAGTTCGATCCATATTGGCCGACATTAAAGCGTCGTCGTTAATATAAAATACGTTGAAATATAGAGTAAAAGCATAAGCTCCTGTTTAATGCTTTATTCTCGACTATAATGATAATAGTAATGTTATCGGTGGTAGGTATCGGTGGTGGGTATCGATGAACTATAGTAATAATACACTCAGTAACGAATTTAATCTAGCACGATTACTCTTATCGAACCATCGCATTATTATTATTATGTTTCTTTTTTCTTTATTATATAACATTAAAACGTTCAATGATCCTATACTATCAACTACAAGTATATAACTACTAATACGCCTAGTTTTATTTGATATTTCTTTTAAGATTTTCTTATCTTCTATAATAAATACATTTACATTTGGAAAAACAAAACAGGTGGAGGTTTTGCAATTGTTATCCACGTTGAGAACGATGATCAAACATTGGATCGAAACCAATATTTATCGCAAATATTTTCGAAAAATATTCGGACACGCTTATTCGCTTAACGTTTCAACTATTTCTTTGCCACCCCGTTATCGTAGAATTTATTTCAATTTAACTTTACATTGTTACGATTCCCTAATTATTTTTCTATCGACAAAGTATAAAAGCTAATAAATATTTCGTTCGCATGTTACAATTATTTGACGCAAAAATGACTGTGGTATTCGCCGTGTGCTCGTTTACCGTTATTGAACAAGAGAGAGAGAGAGAGAGAGAGAGAGAGAGAGAGAATAAAAGGAGAGTATTTAGCACATTGCTCGAAAGGAATCGAACGGAAGTACAAAGCAAATCGTATCTTTGAGCGTTCATTTTGTTTCGTATGGGATTGCGTATCCGAGATGTCGTTGAGTCCAGTAATCCAACCTTGTCATTATTTCTTAGCATTTTATCTTTTGTTCAATCATCTAGTTAAAAGTGGATTATCCGAGTGTTTTTCAAACGACACTTGTTCGAGAACCAAAAGGATTGTGGATGACGATAACCCGAGGTATCTGATATTTCCACAGGGAAGTAATGTTCAGGTGAGATGGACAAAAAAATATATATATATATTTCTGTATACGGGCACGGAACGTAACGCAATGTAACGGACTATAATATTGCGTGGGAGATTTTATTTTTCCTCTTTGTTTTCGTTGTCTGTATTGGAGTAAAAGAGGATGAAGATAGGATGAAGAAGATTTGAACGTCCGAAATGAAAAAAAGGGCTCGGCAAAGGACAATAGCTAAAATATTATTTATATTTTGGAATTTTTTAAAATACAAGAAAAATTCCGGAATATATTTCTAATAACATTTATTCGTTTAAAGGAAGAAAACAAGAGTGTTAGGAGGTAAGAAACAGAAGGGTAGTTAAAAGCAAACTTTATAAAGAAACTTTTTTACAAGGTCTACACTATTAAAAGAAACTTTGATAATAGAACATTTTTCAAAGTTCTCTTTTGATAATCTAATTTAACCTCGGTGAATATGGATAACTAAACGTTTTAATGAACAAAGTTAAGCATGATAGGTTATTGACTAATAAAAATGAGCTATTTTTTTCCTTTATTATTCTTTCTCTTACACCATTGTCAGCAATAGATTATACTTTATAGGGATATCACAATTTACCGTAGGAAAAAAAAAAAAAAATAGGGAGAATCAGAGATACGCAGATAGACAGTAAGAAATGGAGTGAAAGAAAGGGGAAAAGAAAAGATGCAAGAGAAAGACTTTCCCTTTGGTGCTATCTTGTTTCAATATTTCAAGCGATTCCGTGATAGAGTCAAGTTTTCGCAAAAGACAAGCAATCGATTGAAATGTCGGTAAATAACTTTGTAGCTCGAGCTGTACAACCTAGGCAAGATTGTTTGTTGAAAATAATGCACTTGGAATAGATATTGTTTCTCTCACTCTCCCTCTTACTCCCTGCAAAATTGAAAACATACATACCTGATACTAGTTTATAGATAATATGATAGAAATTTGGTTAAATTGTTAATATCAAAATTGAAAATGAACACTGCCGACCATATAATAAATATTAAATTTGTTCAAGTGAGTAGCCCACATGAATCCTAATCGCGTATAAAATATTATTCACTCAACTAATGTCGTATTAGCGCATCACGATAAATTCGATCGAATAAATTCTTATTCAATTATGTCCTCAAATATTGGAGTTCAAATTTTGAACGTTTAATGATAATAAAATGAATCAATAAAATTACTCGCTATTTCTTATCGTAATTTATCAACGTTGTTGGGTATAATTATTGTTAAACAACCTCCTAATGTATTATTTCATATTTATCGATTTTATTTCTAATCGTATTTGTATATTTTCTATATATTTCTAAATTGCATATGACACATATACGTCCAGTTGGTATACTGTATGACCATCGCCACGTACTCGAAGCCTCAAGGAATGTTTACCGTTGGTGTTACGGCCGGACTGGCATGGGAACTTCCTCATAGAAATACCGTATTGTACAGGAAACCTGCCGAGGTTTATCATCGTCGAAGCAGAAGGGAGTTGTACCGCAAAGTGGAACTAATGCTGAAAACGTGAGTGACATATAGACCACAGGGAATGACGAAAGGCGACAAAGAAACAGATAGAACGAGAGAGAGAGAGAGAGAGAAATAATTTAACTATGATATTATTGAAAAATCAAGGATCTCATTATAAATTTGGATAATGCACGTAGAAGTGGAGGTTAATACGTGAATCAAACATCACGTATTTCAACTCGACGTATTTCTTACTCCTATTTTCTATTCTCTCATTATTCAAAGAAGAAAGAAAAAAAGAAAAATACAAGTAAAAAGAATGAGAAAAATCGTGTATGCATGGGTAAATATTTGTATTTGTATTTCACGAAGGAAATGTTCTGTCATAATGCCTCGGCGCTTTTCTTTATTTGCATTACACGTTCTATGCAAATACACGCGAATAGTTTAATACACGTACGTGTTTGTAAAGTTGACTTGAAAGAGAACAAACGAACGTAAACAAACTAATAAACGGACAAAAAAATATGCCGCAATAAAAAAAGGCGATTTACCATTCCGTAATATTTCCTATGCATGGAAAATAATAACAAGATGGTGTCAATTATCCACTGATACGTATTACGATATGGAAAAAGGAACATGTCACACGAATTAAATTGAAAGAACAGAACGATTTGTTCAATTTCTCATTGTTATTTTTCTTTTTTCTTTCTTCGTAAAAATGTGATTCCCCTTTACATCGTCTGTCTCTTTCTTATTTTCCAATAAATCGGTGAAAAGGGAGGAAGAATTTGCGAGGAATCGCAAGGGTGACTTTGTTGTTTTTTCACGAAAATCCTATCTTTATTTCTACCTTCAATCTATCGAGATATTTTTTGGACCGAGAAGTCAAGTACCAAAAGGGTTACAGGGAGAAAAAGGAGAGTAATAAGATAGGGATGAAAAGAACCCTTGACAATGGCCAGGAGGAGGCATTATTCGAATGCTCCTATCGATCAATTAATGCACTTGAGTGCTCTTATGGAGAAGGATTTGTTAGAGCTAAGAGTTTCTACGTGCATAGGGTTTAAAGGTCACCAAATCAACTAAATCAGATTACGTTTTTGATCACTATATTTTTTTTTAACAATAGATTGACTATACTATTGTTATAATATTAATTGTGGAATATAGATTTTAGTGATTGATTGGAATTCCGATTCGTTCAAATAAAACGTAGCAAGGGTCTTAAAGAGGCTAAGAGAATATTTCGTGGCAATGACATTACCAACCAAGTGAGACAAAGACTCTGTGTGTGTGTGTGTGCGTGAATTCTGGTATCAACGTTCTAGCTAGCATTATCGCCAAGTTAATGAATAGACCGTTGACTCTCTTGGCGAAACTGACGGCCGATAACGAGGATGATAGTTACAAACGACACCGTCTCCTACCCTCTCTCTCAAACATATATATATACTCTGTGTGCCATTTAATGTGTATCGCAAGTCACGTCGTGTGACTACTCCTTCTCCCCCTTTATTTCCTCCCTTCATTCCTTCCTTCCTTCCTTCCTTCCTTCCTTCCTTTTGGGGTTAACGAGAAGCGAGTTCCCTTCGTCCTTAATACCTTCGAGAATATAAGCAATCTTATTTGATTTTCTTCTTTCCTCTCACGTGAAAATGACAACGTCTAAGTTTACCTAAGAAGTAGTTAGTTCTCTTTATAAAGTAACCCAGTTTGTGTGAGAATAAATAAGTTTAGTCATATTTTTTGGTTAACTTTTTGGTCAGATAAATTCGTTCAATGATTTTCATGGTTATTACAGTAAAATACCTTATTTGTTGTTTATTCCTTTATAGTCAAGGGAAAGATGGCAAGGCCTGCGTTCTCAAAGCAATTTGCAAAGCCTCTAAAAGGGATAATAAACTAATTGGCAAAGGCACATTTCTCGAAGAAATTTTACACACTATATTCACGTAAGTATTCACGATTTAATTAATATCAAATGTTCCCTTTTTCTTTTACTTACTTAATTGTAATATCATGAATAATGTTTAATAACTCTCTGAGATCTTGTAAATAATTTACAACTAATCCCGACTTATGTAATTGTAAATGAAAAAAATATTTCGAGAATCCTAATGAAAATATTTTAGAAACATGACACTTACGTATACTCGCATAATCCTGTATATATATTCATTTAAATATTTTCCATACATATATTCCGAGAATATAAATTAGAAATTATTTTTATCTGAAAAATTTCATAGGACGCGTATACCGATGAATAAGATGTTAATGAAACCCACGTCACAAAAGAATATTAAAATGCTTGAGAGTATAGAATATCTAAATAACAAGTTTTTTTTTACTTAAACCTCACAATTGTTCCTAAATTCAAAGATTATTTTATACTTTTACACCATTTTTCGATATCTTTCGCAAGAACGAAAATTTGTCTTGGTAACTTTCATCCCAGTTTTGAAAGCCAAGTTCTTCGAAGTTGTGCTTCAATAAATAAATAAAAAGAATATTGATAAATATTATCGATATCGAAAGTTGTATGTACGAAAGTTACATTTAGAAAATTTTGTATTTTTTTTTGTTTGTTTCCTAATGTTAAATATATAATATTATACTATATATATATTTTGGAGAAATCCGAGAATCGATTAAGGAGAGCTTCCTCAACTCGTTTTCAATAGAAACTTCTTATCGAAGTTTGTAGTATAATTCCCGTGAGTAATTCGTTCCTTCAAACGATAGAGCTCAAGTGTTAAACACGCTGAACCAATTTCGACACTGACAAGGACTTCTCTAGTTTCCTTATCTAAAGTAGGCAAGAATCTTGGCTTGTATTTACGTTTCCTTAACGTTCCATCTCTTTTTGGATTTCCCAGAAGGTGGAGAACTTTCTACGTAGGCGTACCACGTCTAACCAATTTATTTTTCATCTCTCTTCTTTCTTCAAATATTTAACAACCAAAAATACCACTTTAATTATTTACTTATTGTTACGCTATTATATTTTTCGAATTTGTTTTTCTTCTCTGTTTGTTCTCTTTTTATTTGTAACAACGACAAGTTCATTAATTTACTTTTCTAATTAAAAGGAAAAAGTTCTACTTTATAATATAAATGGTAATGATAATAATAATAATAATAATAATAATAATAATAATAATAATATCTGTATGAATTTTCACCAATTTGTTCGTATAAGGTTCAGCGTTCAATGAAAAATATGTATATTAATGTAAATATTGAATGCAAATGATATCTATATGTATGAAAAATATGTAAATAACTATAATATTCGTAGTTTATAAAGGTAATATAAACCGCAAGGATTTAATAATAATAATAATAATAATAATCATTGAAATATTAATGATAAATCATATTAAATCAAATAATATCATAATGAAATGGGATAAAAAGTAAATAACGAATTCATTCAATTACAGATTACCTGATGGATTTTACGAGCTCGATCCAATGACAGAATACGAAAAGGTTTATACCAATCAACAAAATTGTGACGAATTTGTCGCTAAATGTCCAGACGTCTTTTGAAAATAAAACGAATGAGTCATGTTTTAGGTTGGTCTATATACGATAAGTTTACTTTACAGGGGGCATTGGGGCATTAACTCTGTCGGACTTCCTAGAAGAGCTTGGAAACCGCTTTAGTTAATGCTGCGTTTGTGCGGCTTCATCTAAACTTGCCATCTAATTAACGAAATTAACCAACCTAAAAGACATAACATGATTAAATAGATTTCAAATAGTAGACAAGAAAAAGTAATAATAGTGTTATTTTATTAACTTAGATATTTCTTTCTATACTTTTATTCACAGGAATATATAGTATTAGGAATAGTAGACACATAGAACTCCCAGTACGTGTACTACCTGGTACGTGCTCGTTGAACCATATAATAAACATTCATGCTGTCAGAGCTTAATGCACTTTTTATTGCGTATCGTCTGAGTGCTCGAGTATCTCTACGTTATGTGTGTACTTTCTCGTTCAAAGCTATGCTCTATTTCCTATGATATCTTACCCATACGTTTATCGTTCGACCCCCGTTCAACAAATTTATAATAATACAATATTTGATAAAATCTAAATAAGGAAATTCTAATACAATTTGGGAATTGACAAGGACTTCTGACTTCTGTTAATGACGTGCGATACAAACCTGATTCCCAATTGACGATCTCTACCAATTCGAATTGTATTATATCAAACGCGTCTATGTCAATGTATCGCACATTCCTGGTTATACGTTATATACGTGTGATGTAAATGTGTGTACCAATACCCGATTATAGATATGTGCATGTGTATGCGTATGCGTGTTTGCGTGTTTGCGTGTTTGCGTGTACGAATATACATCCAATGAAAATACACGTTCGCGATGACAAACCCCGGAAAGATATACATCCAGCGAAGATGTATGCTATATTATTACAGTAATATGAATAATTATTATAATAGCATTCAATTGAAATTATTTGGCGATAATTCGAAACTCAAAGTCGACTGTTTGCTATAAATGTTAAGAAATAGTAGAAGCTTGAACGTTCATTTATAAACTTGAAATAATATATAAATTTAATAGAGAGAGAGAGATCGATCAAGAATGAACTTTGATTTTAATTACTTTGCCTGTCTACATATTGTCAGTCTTAATTAAATATCGATACAATATTTAATGAAGTAAATTGTTCTTTTAATGAACAATTAATTTATATCTATCTATTACGTACAAAACGTATCGTTGTAATATTACATGTATTATTGAATAAAAAGATGGTGAGAAAAGAAAGAAATAGAGAGTAAGGAAGATATCTTTGAAAAGTTAAGGACCCACCATGCTTCCTTCATTTTTTCACATTTTTCAAGGTTTTTCTTTCTCGCCTTGAGCGAGTCGAAAAAGAAGCAAGAATATTGTCGAGATGATCGTGTTCCAGCAGTCCGGAACGATAACTCGTACATCAAACACACACGTGGCGTGTCTTCCTTCGTGATACGTGGGGAAAACTAGCGATACCGTTTCAAATTCTTTGACTTTTTAAATCTCCTCATGGTGACTGGATTTCAACTACGAAGAATATCTCAGAAGAAAATATAAAAACAACAGAACATTTTGTTGGCCAACAAATTGAATTATTATCGCAAGTGTAGGAAAGGAGATTCGAGGTGAAACAATTTGGTGATCGAAAAAAAGAAACTGGACAAGGGTTGAAATGAGGTCATCCTTTTTCTTCATTTTCATTCTAATCGAGGTAGCAAACATTGTTCTTGGGTTATCCGTGTGTCACCGTAATAGCACTGACTTTGCTGTCAGAGGCCAAAATTCGGAGGAGAGCTTAGTCAGAAGAAGACGATCATCCCTCGTATTTCCAAAGGGTAGCGCATTCGTGGTAAGTCTTTCTACCAGATTTATCGGTTCGAACTTTCAATCAATATGTGATAAAGATTTTAACAAACAAATTCCTACAACGTCATTAATTATTGTCATTTTGTTCCAATTATTTATACATATATATTTGATATTTTTCATTTACAGACAACTGTGGCTATATTGAAAGCTATTATGGTTAAAGAACCACCCAATTGGAATTTGATTTATGAGTTTGACGTAATATGGCCGATACCGAGCGAAGAAAATTTTCGAAAGAATTTCTATAGAAAACCGTGGGTAATAAAACGACGCCATAGACGTGAAATTTATAATAATTTTGAAATGGCATTAAACAGGTCCGTATATACCACCGATATAGTTGAAAGATCCTTTAGAATGTATTATTTTCATTTATATAATCCAATTTTAATTTAATCTCTTCTCGGGAACGTTTTAAACTCGTAAAGAAAAGAAAAGAAAAGAAAAGAAAAGAAAAGAAAAGAAAAGAAAAGAAAAGAAAAGAAAAGAAAACGAAATTAAGGATGAAAAGCGTTAGCACATGAAAAGGGATAAATAACTCTTTTCAGTCAAAATCTACCTGGACGTCAATGCGTTCTTAGAACTATTTGCGAGGCTGCTACGATTCTGAATCAACCGGGCTTGTCGTTGGTGGAAAAAGCTTTGAAAGTAATCCTCGAGTACGCTTTTTATCTCTGTCTTCTTCTCTTCGTTTCATTTCGATTAGTTTTTAATGAAAATCTCGTTACAGAAATTCCGAAGACGTTGAAGATACCGATTATTACGATTTGGCGTACCGGAAAGGAACTGATTGTAATTTAGAGTATCCTTGTCCATTTTCTTTTCTACAATTATTATTATATTGCTTGTACTCCGGGATTGTCATATAAAAAGGAAAATGTCTTTGTTTATCTATTATTTTAAATATAAAAAGATTTGTTTGTTTTTTTTTGTTTTTTACATTATATATAATAAATGTATACTTGTATTATACGTCATTGATTTGTCTATTTCTATTTTCTGTCTCTCTTTCTCTTAGTTTCGTTCGCTCGCTCGCTCGCTCGTTCGTTCGTTCGTTCATCCGTTCCTCAGCTTTATCCTGGAAACTTTGAAAAGCGTCAACGTGACAACCGATATTACTTTGCACGAGAGCCCGAAGCGAAAGAAAGTTTATCGATGAAGAAGAGGTTGCCTCGGTGCTGCTTTCGTAGTCGGTGAAATGCAAAAGGCGATTGTTACGGACAATCGAGCTGTTCCGAAGCTTATAATCGTGGCCCAAAGTCCGGGGCCATTGTTCTTCTTTATATTCTTCCAGTCTTCTTAGATACTTTCATCGTTGCAAAACACTTTGCAGATTTTTCATTCCGTTTTTATCTTTTTTTTTTTTTTGTCATTATTTATATTATATCTCGACGAATTTTATTCACAGTTACCAATTACTTGTGCACATATATGAAAAATAAATAAAATCATTTAATTATCAGGATTATAATAGTTACTTCCGTGATTTTTCGCGATATTAAAAGTGAAACAATTCGAAAAATGTTAAAATCGACCAAGAGTGAACGAGATTGGACCAGATCCAATGATGTAAACTATGTTTATACATAAGTTTAGGTATTTTCGCGTGAGTAAATCCGTAACACCTAATGTATACCGGTAGACATGGATACACGTGTACAACGATAAACTTTAATCGTATTAACATCGTTCAGGTGATTAACACCCGAAAGGCTAGCGGTGCTTCGACCCAACGCGTTCCTCGAGTTTACGTTAATCGCTAGTTAAATATATCCGAGATAGAGAGCGAGAGACAGAAAAAGAAAAAAAAAAAAAAGAAAGAATAACGAACGGTTACGTAGCAATGTTCGAAAAACCATATCACCCAGAAGTACTTGTTCTACCTTCAAAGAAGAAAGGTTTTTCTAATCGTTCTCTCTGTCTTGGACAAATGAATACAAGTGAGTAGGATTAAACAAATAGATGTAAATAATTTGATATGTAAAATAAGAAATTCGTATTTATCGCGTCGTTAAAGTTCGATCGGGAAAAGAAGTGGTGAGTTTTGTTGATTTTGTTCTTTAATTAAACGGAAATCCAAAGTATTTAATCGTTCCAATTCCGCAAACTCGTTTGTTACTAGCGGCGAACTTTTCTTCGGTTGGCTCCGTTCTCCTTTGTCTGGAATGCGGCCGGAATGCGAGACAATGAAAAATGTAAAGGGGACTGCTGGAAGAAAAGAAAAAGAAAAAGCTAAAAACAAAAGGAGGAAAAAAAGAAAATGATACGGTTCTCGTTAAACTGTAGGGACGTATTCTCACCTAAAAGAATTTTTTCGACGAAAGGAATTTTCCCATCATCGATACTTGCCACCCTCAGCCCTCAGCCCTCAGCCCTCAACCCGCCCTCTTTCGTCGAAATAACACACACCTATGGTGACAAGTAGAAAATTCAAAAAAGATCTGCGAACGAATATGCCAGTTGAATGAAAAAAAAAAAAACAAATATTCCTAACGCAATATTTTGGCGTCTCCTTAGAGAGAAAAATATTCGAGAGAGTTCGATCAAGTTTTGTAGTATTTACCAATACCAATATCTATCGATCATTTTCTCTCTTCTTCGAGGTTTTTCCACCCTGAGAGCTAACAACTTCCTGTTTCCTAAAGAGCTTTGCAGAAAAGAATCTTCAGATATTTCCAGTAGAAATGAGAAATCGATCTTTCGACAACAATTCAAGGTAAAAAGTTTTCGTCCACGTTTGAGGGGGGGGGAGGGAGGGTACTTCCAATGCTCTCCAAAGTCTTTTTTATCTTTATTTATTTCTTTCTTTATCTTTTTCATTTGCAAACAATTTTCTCAACACCATATAACCACGAATCTTCAATCGTTTGTCTTTTTTCTTTTCTTATCGAAGTAATCAAAGTAGGAGTGATTTACAAAGTGAATAGTATATTCCTCCTTCTCTAAGTAATTTCAAACAACGATCGAGATAAAAGATTTCTATTTTTATCTTATTGAAGGCAATCGGAGGAAAAAAGTTTTCCCCTTTGGTGTACCCTAGCGTCATTTTCGTTGAAATATATTCCCTGACTATACTGCTTGCGTTAAAGACTAACATAAGAAGAAGTATACGAATGAATTATATTATATCTAGGAATGTCGTCTAACATTACCCATTTGATTTCCCATTGATTATTACCCAATTTTATCCAATACTATTTGTCAAAAATAAAACTAAAAAAAAAAAAATAAAAGAGGAGTGAAAAGTAGACGAATAAAAAAAACAAGAAGAAATACGAGAAGAAAAATCTGATTACGAAGATAAAATGGGTAAATCGTAAATACAGACTGTTCTCTTCTGAGAGAAACTAAGAAGGGTGGAAAGAAGAAGAATCGCGAAAAGGGACTTGTAGAATTAGGGGTTGGGCTTGGTTACATTGGTGAGGAGTAGTAGTAGAAAATCCGGAAGTGGAGATTTTCGTACACGCGTATTGGTGAAAATACTCGTGTCTATTCAAACGAAGAAGGAATGTGATAATATCCTTTTTTTCTCACGGTGCGGTAGAATACGAATTTCTTCCAATTGGAATTACGAAGAAGAAGAAGAAGAAGAAGAAGAAAAAAACAAGAAGATAAAAAGGGGATAAGCAAATATCGGAATGAGCAAGGATAGCTTGGCAAAATGTTTCTTTATTCTTCCGAAAGCAAAGTTAAAGCAAACTTTGATTTGATACTAAACATTATACGTAATGTAGCCTGTTAGCCTATTTTAAAGTGAAGGAAAAATTGCTAATCGAGCTGTCACTCGCTTAGAAGTTACCCATCGTTTTCGGTAAAGCTCATTTACATTTCCTTCTACGTTAGATAGATCGAAATGTCTTCGCGTATGTGTATATCCATACGGATGTAAAGAGGATTTCACGTCATTTACGTATCAGCACTCGGTGAGATCGCGTGCAATGTCGTTCGTTATGATTATTTCGTCGATTTTCTCGCGACATTCCAATCTCTCCTTCCACTCTCTCCTTCCACTCTCTCCTTCCACTCTGTCTCCTTGCACTCTCTCAAACGTTGCATATACTGCCAAATAATATATAATATGCATATAGATCCCAATCGAACTTACGAAATACTTTTTCAAGGATTTTTCTTAACCAAGCATGATTTTAAATAAGAATAAGTTGTTAATGTTGTTTTATCCTAAATCCAAGCCCTTTCGTTCGTCGATAATCGAAAAAGCATACAGATAAATCAAAAGTGTTAGATAAGTTTAAGTATAAAAGGTAAAAAGTCCTTCTTCTTTAGTTGAATGTATATTTCATTTTAAAGATATGGATCGTTTTGTCGGCCGTTGGATGCTTATTCTGACGATACTTTGCGGTCTGGTGTATGAACACAAAGCGGACAGTGATCGTGATAGTCCGCACTCGAGACGGAAACGTTACGTCGTCTTTCCGGAAGGTTCGAGTTTTTCTGTGAGTATCAAGAGGTACGTACTACATTCTTCTTTACAAACCTACCGGATCTACCAAAACCCACGAGACGTTGGAATATTAAGAAAGGATGAAATGTGTACACGGCCACATTTACTTTCAGACACTTATGCATACACACATATGCATACACGGTATATTCTTTATTCCTTTATTTTCTTTTTTTTCTTCTCCTTATATCCAACAAATCCTAACGTTCTATTTTATTTATTCTTTCATTTTATTTTAAGAGGACCAACTCAGAGAGAGAGAGAGAGAAATTGTCTGCTAAGTTCTTTGTTAAATTGAAAAGAAAAGAAAAAAAGAGAAGAAATAGACGAATTTTATTAGAAACATTTACTTTTCTAATAAAAGAAAAATAAAAACGAAATATGATGTGTGTCTTTTCTGTTGAGATTGCATTATGTATGACGGTACATACACTAACTCCAGACAACTTCTTCACGGAGGGAGTAAATTGGGGTATCTCTTATGATCTACCAAACGAGAGCAAACCAGCTCTCGAACCATTTCTTCAACTCAGAAACGATAGAGTCAAGATCGCCAACAAATACGGATCACTCAAGAACGGCTTACAATCCGGGAATAAGAATGGTTTTGAGTATACTGGTTGGAACGTGCCTGGCAAGTATGTACAATTTTCGTCGTCTGGAAATAAGAGGAAGGGTTACAAGGCCGATTATTATTATCTACAAAGAAGACATCGTCGAGATCTTTACAATAAACTCGAGATCATCATGAATTCGTGAGTCTTTTTCTCTATCATTTTTATTATTTACCATGTCTTTTTACTTGTCTAAAAATGAATTCATTGGTAATCCATTGTTTCTACTGTTATATTCTTCCAGCAAGAAAAATACGAATAATAATGAAATTTTCGTTAAGTGTAGTAGCACAGGTGACAAGGTGACAAGCTCGATAATAAAATGTTACAGCGACGTTAGTGTTGTACTCTTTACGAACAATTGACCCCATCGACCTGTCTCCGTTCTTTTTATCGTCAATGTCCTACGTACTTTCCTTTCGATCGAGTTACCTAATGCAAAGGCCCGATATACAGTGTTATAGCAGCTGTATATACATATTTTATCTCATCCTTGTTCCTCGCTAAAAACCTCCATTTTAGGTCATAAAAATCTTTCATAAGATTTCATCCTGTTAGCGACATTTCAAAATAAAAATATTACTTCATTTTGATTCTTATGTAAAGTAGTGAAAGTGTTCTTTAATAAGTCTATGAAACAGACCAAAATCCATTTTATGATGTAATCTCGTATGAGTATATGTGCACGCATTTAAAAATTATAAATTAAACACAGTTGGGATGTAGAAAAGTTATACGGTAGAGTTATAAAGTATTTAAACACAGTGTTAATTTCTATAAAACAGAATAGAAATCAAATCAAATCAAATCAAATAAAATAAAATAAAATTGATATGAAATTCCCCTACTATACATTTACATTACATTCATAACAGATGATTAACTTTCATTTTATTGTTTTAAATGTATCAATTACTATCGAATCATCATCAATATCTCAATTGTTAAATATAGAAAATATACGTTTATAGGTATATACGTGTAAGCGCTCTTGTACGGATCATTTATCCGTAATTTCAGAGGAAAAATAATCGAATGTTTGGGATTAGGTGGTAGTCATGTTGGTGAATGACAGTTATAAATTTGATTATAAGCGAATGAACGTGGAAAATGAGGTAGGAAAAGAGAAGAGAAGTAATAAAGGATAAAAGAAAAGAAAGAAAGTATATGTTCGTAACCATTGGCTTGAAAAACGGATAAATGGTCTGGTATGCTCGTTGAGAAACGAACAACCATGGTAAAAGCGTTGAGAGAATTTCTACTCGCGGCTACCGAGGCGCCATCCTCTGATTCATGCCACCCTTAAGCCGTTCTACGATCACCAGTGACCACCCACGAACACCATCAGAGACACGAAAACCCTCTGTAAGCCATCTTGTAAACCGTTCTCATCCACGCAAGAGTCATTCAAGCTTTCCCAAGCGTTCGACAAGCATGACCCGTCCTTATATAACTTTCACTATTCCTTTTTCTTTCTTTTCTCCCCCCCCCCCCACCGCCAAATAGTCACGAATATTATATATAATAATTCTCCATTAATTTTAGTAGATAAGTGAATCGGAATACTTGAAAGGTTAAGGGATGATCCAGCGTCTGCGAATAATGTTTTAAAGTCACCCTCCTAGTTTTCACTAACCACGCCCTAAAATTGAAGCCCTAAAATTCGCGTATAAAAAAAATTTTAGCGTTAAAAGATATATGAATCATTATGAGAAATTGGAATTCATGAAACGTGATTGATCGTGTATGTATGCATGCTTGATTTTACAATTACAAGGAAAATCTAAGTGAAAGATCGTTAATCAATAGAAAATGTAGGGAATCCTGGAATCAAGTCGTAACGTCCAAACTCGTACAAAATGGCACACAAGCAACCAGAGAAGGAGAAAGAGAGAGAGAGAGAGAGGAAGAGTAGATCCACGTCGCATCGGCCGTTGCAACATCCAATATTGCAGTCGAATCGAATGTCGAAGCATCGTGACGCGACGTCGGGTTATATATCGTCTGGCATAAACCACCTCTCGCAGTTAGCTAGCTTTCCCTCTATGGGAAAAGAGAGAAGGACGAAGTACGAATGAGAAAGAAAGAAAGAAAGAGAAAGAGGAATATATACAAGCCACAAAACGGGAAATATTCACGTTCGATCGCTTTCGGACGATAGTAGTCGTATTAGAAACTGCCGACGAACGACTAAAATTCACCAAACATCCATAAATTCTAATAAATATTTAATAGTGTAGCAAAATTTCACGCAATATACAAACAGAGAGAAATAGTGATAGTTAAATAGACTGCATTAAATATATGCAACTATAGAAATCGTTGTTATCCTTTCAGAATGGGTTTTGACGGTAGATCCTGCGTTCTTCGTGCTCTTTGCGAGGCCTCTCAACGACTAATGCCAAAGGGAAACACTCTGGTGGAAGAAATGATGAGGATATCCTTCTCGTAAGATTCATTTTGTATAAGTTAGAAAAGTAAAAGAAAAAGAAAAAGAAAAAGAAAAAGAAAAGGAAAAAGAAATGTTCAAACTATTTTGAACGTAGTAACGGGTGGAGGAGTGTAAGAGGAATCCATAAAACTTGAAAAACATTTGAACAAATGTTCTTCCTTTTTTCTTACTTTTTTTTTCTTACTTTCTTTTCCGTGTCTTCTTACCTTTCTACTCTTTTTTCTATTTGATTCTAATGGTAAATGAAAAGATTGATCGAATTTGAAAATAATCTGATTTATGATCGACTGTTCGATTCCTTCAAAAGCATCGGTTTAAACAAATAACGTTATAAGGATTCCCTTCTCAATTTGATCCTCCGAGTGATTCATTACTTTATAACGCGATTCGATTCCGGTTTAACGCTCCGATTGGTCCCTTCTTTTAAGATCTGTTCCATCGGGGATATTTAACTCGTCAAATCAAACTAAAATATATTCTCTAACTAAAGAAAAATATGATATTATTATTTATAAAAGAGAAATTGGAAATATTGAATGCGTTTACAGATTACCTCTTAAAAAGGTACTGTCGTTCGAACCAGAAGAACATCGTACGTACACCAATGCCCATAAAGCCGGTCACGAGGGCGAAGACTGCGTTGCCATGTTCCCTGGATGCAGTTTCTCTCTCATCGACATGGCCCTAGGGAAATATAACGCACCGTCTACCGACTATTCCGACGTTACTAGCTACTACCACCCACCACATCCGGTAATTCCGGTCGCCCCGTCCGGAACTTATGCCACCGATGACGACAACGACGACAACAACAACGACGTTAGAGAGAATTGGACAAGATACAACATGAAATAAATTTCAAATAATCAGATTGAAAGATTTTATTTTATATAAAAAAAAAAACTAAAGTTGTAAGACAGGTGAAAATTAATCGGTGGTTTTTTTTCCTTTTTTTCCTTTGAACAATCTTCAAATAATAATGAATTTTGAGGAATAAATTTTCTTAAGCAATAGCAATTTAAAAGCCGGAATTAATTTTCTACCCTCCCGGTAAGTGACACCGGTATCCGTATCTTTTCTTAAATAAGAGGGTTGTCTCCTTCGGAGGGATCCAAAGAAAAGGAAAAAGCAGAAAGTGAGTGGGTTTTTGTGGGGAGGGGGCAAATGGAAAGGCAGACTTGGTCCTTGTCGGTGTTCTTACTTCTTTCACCCTTCTTTTCATCCTTCTTTTCACCCTTCTTTTCACCCTTCTTTTCACCCTTCTCATTCCATCGTTTTCTTCCCTTTTTCAGTTTCTACGTTGACTGCGTAACGTCTTACGGTCAACCCGATAAGGGATGAAAAATCACTCGTCTTGATTTTCAACTTTTTCCCTAGCAATGGATATGAAGAGATTCTACGTATATTGAGATCTTTTTCGCCAAACGTCTGGCTGCCGTGTTTGTGTGTACGTGTATTTTATTTTTTCATATAATACGAATAACCATCTCTCCCTCTCTTGATTTTTTTCTTCTAACTCATTGAATTAAAAAGAAAGGAACAAAAAGTATAAAAACGAACAGACTCGTCGTCGCAGGAGAAAATTGATTTTCGACTTGTTCATTGTTATTTCATGTTTGCCGAGCGTGCTTCTTTTGAAATAGGAACGTGACGATAGACTAACAGCTGAGTCCATGAAAAATCTACCTAGACCGAGATAATTGTTATATTGATTAATGAGAAAACTACAAATCAACGTAATTTAAGGAAAAATTAATAATAAATAATAGAAAACGTGGACGTGTATAGGGTTTCTTTTTTTTTTTTTTTTTTTTTTTTTTTTTTTTTTTGAAAAGATTGTATCTCTCCTTTCAATCTCATAGAATTCATTTTCACATATCTGTTTACTTGCTGTCAAATTCTCACGAAGGAAGAAATAACATCTTTCTTTATTTCTATCTGTCACTCTCTCTTCTCTTTTAATCTTTTTTCGGAGACGTGATTTTTTGTGTTTCGATAGTGACTAAAATTCAGTAAGAGCCGAACAGATATCGATTGTACGCCGGTGGTGGCACCGCCCCAGTTCGCGGTGCAGGCCGGGTGTGGTGATGGTGCTGCTTGTGGTGGTGGTACTGCTAGTGTGCTGGTGGTGGTAGCGCGCGTAGACCGCTTATAACAACCCTCTTTTCCATGACACCATCTAATTCCTACACGGTTAACCACAATTCTACTTACTATTCTTGGATTAAAAAGAAATAGGAAGGAAGGAAGGAAGGAAGGAAGGAAGGAAGGAAAAAGGATTTTAATCGATTATTAAATATCCAAATTGATCTAAATATTCATATTAATGGAATAATTGAAAAGACATTTTATGTTGATTGTAAAAGAACATCGAGGATCGATCTAACATCTAAACTTATTGTTAGTCCAATATACCAATCTCCTTTATGCGGTTTAAACTTCACCTCTTGAACTTTCTTCCGGATTGAGTCCAGTTACTTTCGCAACTTCTTCGACTAGTGTCCGTCCGTCTGTCCATCCGTTCGTAAACGCGCTCTATTCGATGAAAATTCGATAGGAAGTTTCTTGAAGGGGAAGAACACGATGAAGAAAACCACGAAAAAAGAGAAAAAAAACGATTTATCGATCCATCTATCGACAAAGAATGACCACATTTTGCACCTTCTAAGAGGATAACGTGGTCAAATTAGATAAAAAAATTTGATAAATAACAATATGAAGGATATATACCGTAGGAAAGTTTGCTTATTATTTAGTAGAAAATCGTTGAAGCAATGCTTCTTTTATTTCTACTTATTTCGTTGCAATACGGTGTTAACGTTCATTCATTTTTATAAGGTAATAATCATAATCGTGTTTCTATGAAGAATTTCCAACGAGTGATCTGATCAAAGTCGAATTAACTGTAAAAGATGATAAATAAAAGAATAGAAGAAAGTAAAGAAGAACAAACGTCGAAAGAAATTCCGTTTGGTTGGATCGAAGCGAAGCTTAATTTTTCAAACGTTGGAATTGTCGATAAGAAGTAACCTTGGTAGATATTGACGTGTGTAGAGAATCGAAACGGCACGGAAGTTAGAGAAAAGAAGAGAATCTTTTTCCTTCTAGGAAGGAGCTTAGAACCTCCTTCTAGGTATCTTTCTTTGGTATCTATCTTTGGTATCTATCTTTGGTATCTATCTTTGGTATCTTCCTTTTCTTTGTTTCTATATTTTCGAGTTTCTCTACTCCGGTTGTTATATTTTTTTCTTCTCCGTTTATTCTTTTCTTTTTACTTAGGTCAAGCTCCTATCGACCGTTACTACTGTCGTTATTGCACAGCTTCTTCCAAGAATTTATTGCTAAGAAAAAGAAAAACCTGAAAATGAAGAGAAAGGGAAAAAAAGGTTTGAACGCTCTGTTTCGACGAAACTTAAAACGAGCGACGATATCACCTAAGGCAGCAAAAAAAGACATCGGGCCAATCGGAAGGACTCTTTTCTATCTCTCTCCCTCTCTTATTTTAGTTCCTTCGAGAGAAGGCAATACGCGTCTCACGAAATAAAATTAATCGAAAAGAAGCAATTTCTTGGGATAGTACAGGTTCCAATGCAGCTTCCAAAGTCGATACTTTTCGTATCGATAGCTTGGGATTCTTTCTCTGCTATTATATATATTTTCAACAATTTATTCCTTTAATTAAAAATACACAATTTTCAGAATTTGACAGAATTAGTATTATAATACTACTTGACGACAAACTATTGGAGATTTGAATAATTAGCGTGTAATATGGATAAGCTAAAATTCAACCGCAAACTATGTGAACGAGATGACGTCATCTTGTACCTTTCACAGGTGTAGAAATAATTCAGACATTATATAGTGGCACGCATCAGTCGTTTGTGAATTCTAAGGTAGTTTGCTACATGTGTTGATGTACGTGCGTCTCCTATATTATTATATAATACTAGGATGCGTTCAACGCGTTCTCTTATTTCTCTACATTCAAACAAAACAATTGTCAACAACAAATTTACCATTAGAAAGATATCCATAAATTTGCAAAAGTTTTTCTTACCATCCTATATAAGATAAATACAAATTCTGAACAAATTTAAAGGATTCACATTGCATCGAATGAAATCTGAAAGCATGGTATTTCTTGATTTAACGTTCCTGACATTTTCGAACACGTTTCGAACACGTTTGGATCCGTAGCAGATCTTCCAGCAAGAGAGAACAAGAAATGAAAAGGAGAAGAAAAATGAGAAAAAGAAAAAGAGAGAAAGAGAACCGATAGTTGGTACTACATATACTTTCTCTTTTTCTATCTCACACGATTTTTCCGCTATTCCATCTTCTAAGAAGAGAAAGCTCGAGAATAAAAGAAATATAGAAGCTACATGATTCTTGCGTTTTCTCTTTCGTCACATCAAAAGAAGAACGTCGATGTAGTAGTAGTACTAGTAGTAGTGGTAATACAAGTAATAGTATGGTCCGTCTCGCGTGACAGAAGAACCGATGAAATGAAAAATTTTCTCTCCCTCTTTCCTCAATTCCTTCCTTCCTTCCTTCCTTCCTTCCTTCCTTCATTCTTGTGTAGTTACTTGTACGTCAGTGTAGGCGGCTGGCTGGTGCATCAATGGGGATCGATTTAAACGAGAGAACTATGGGATGTGTACTAGTATAGGTGGGGGAATTTTCGAAGAAAGAAAAGGATAGAAATAATGAAAAAGAGAGAAGACGTAGGACCAACTAGGACGAGTCGAATGTCGAAAACGGATCGAGTTGAAACCGAGGAAAAATCAGAGGATCTGTGCTAGGAAAATTCGAGCCGAACGAATCTAAGAAGTATCTACCGAAAGAGAATTTCAAATGGGGAACGTGTCCGTCCATTGGTAGATTTTCTCTTTTACTGCATCCTGAACCCCTGAACCCCAAGCCCAACCCCAACCCTTCGAGGGTGCAACGTCATTTCCCTCCCTTTGCTACTTTCTTTCTTTCTTTCTTATTTTTTTTTCTATCCTTTTTCTACCATCTCAAATTTACTTCGGATCTAATGTTTTTTCTTTTTTTCTTTTTTTTTCCTTTCTAACCCAGCTTCACTCACTCCTGTATCTTATCGTTCCTCGTACTGTCTTCCTCGTGGATTCTCGTGAGACTGTGAAGAACCGAAAAGGAAATTCTTTTCTTCTTTTCCTACTTCTTATTCTTCTCCTTTTTTTTTTGTTTTGTTTTTTTTTTCTATAGAAAAGAATAAGAGAAATCAGACTGATGTTAGAAGAAAATGTCTCTTATAATGAATTGTCACATATGTTAGGTTTGTTTTATTTTTCATTATTATTTTAAAATTTCAAGAAATTGTATAGACGAATCAAAAGGGCCGAGTTATTCGATCCAAAAATCCTTGACCAGCCGGACAAGAAGAAAACATCCTTGAGCAATCCTCATTTCTTTGACCAACTTTGGCTGCTAAGAGGAAATCTTCAGGAAAAGATGGATCCTCGGCGTGTTCCGGTCTACGGTGTGAAATAAATCGATTACAATAAACGTTCAAGTTTTATAATAAACGATAAACAATTGTTCGACATTTAATTGCAAAGTATTCAATGAAATAATACGTTAATAAAAGATGTAAAAGTTCCCCGATAAGGCCTTCGTTTATTAAAGGATCTGCAACAGCCTCGCAAATGCTCTTTTTTATACATTCTCGTCCGTTTAATCCATTTCTGAAACAAACCAAAATTTCTTATAATTTACACACACACACACACACACGCACACACAAATTTCATTTTATATTGTATGAAATAAATCCTATAGGCAGATAATATATTTGTTGAGTTGTAATTATCGGTAACGTGTGTACTATACCTTTGAAAATATTGTTCCAACGTATTAAAAAGAAGTACCCTTCCGTACCTATCGAGATCTCTAGGTCGTCGTGAAAAGACGCGATTTTGTGATAAATTACTGAAGAACGTAGCATTTTGCGGCAGAGCATATTGGAATTGAAAGTTTTGGCCGTAAACCAAAATCCTTCCAGCTAGTTCGATCGGTACTGCGAATCCTACCACGAGCTACATTGCGAAACACATCAATTTATAAAATAGTACAAGTAGTCAAAGTAGTAGAAAAATATATTTTTCATAAACTATCCAACTAAAGAAATAAATTAACATTTATTATATTTATGCAAATTTTTTTCTCCAGGAAAAATAAAATAAAATAAAACAAGGTCTGAGTAACGTAAAGATGTGTGCAATAAAGATGTGAGTTGACCAATAACAGCTTGGGATTGTATCAAACATAAGAAACAAGTCTGGGATTCATCTCAGAGAGTACATTCGCTCGTAAAACATTGGTATTCTCCTAGAGACTGATCAAATCAATCCAACATATATGAGTGGTAATATAGTTCTCTCTTGGTACGAGAGTTATAAATATAGAGAGACAAAAAAACCATTGGATAGATAAGAAATATTAAGTTCTTTGTATTTTTATTCCAACTTTTTTTTTTTTTTTTTTTTGATCGACGAGAAAAGAGAAGTGAAATTACGCTGTCTCCACTGGTTATCTTTTTACTTCAATTCTGTGAAAAATTTCACCATTCTTGACACTGGCGTGGTTTTGGTATTTGAACTTTTGGAATATCGCTTAACCATCCACTCTTCCCCCGTCTCCCCATTTCGTTTTCGTAATTCCCAAGATATTACGTTGTTTCGAAACTTTTTCCTTCTTTCACGTCTGTATCAACCGGCCGCCGAGCCACCCCCAAGCTTCCTCCTTCTGTTTTTCTTTTCAATCTCTCTCCCTCTTTTCTTCTTTTTTAACCCCTTATACGTTTTCCATTTTCTTTAGTTAAATTGCATAATATCGAATTTGAGCATTCAAATATTTTAATTATTTTTAATGACGAATTATTATAATATAAAGCGTAAGAAATAAAAAATAGAAAATAAAAAAAATGAGTATGTAAATAGCTTGTACAATGGGTTACTTATGTTTGAAGTTTATGATGCTTTTATTAAAGTATATTATTAAGATAGATAAGTAATTCGCGTTAGTATCAATGATTTTACGAAGACTTTATTCATCGGTATTACGTAAAAGCACTCTCTATCGATTTTCCGAATCAGCTCGAAGTGAACTATATACAATAATACCTTTTGCTATTCTCTCGGAGCTTTCTCTTTCTATTTCCGCACTTTTCAAGCCTTCCGGGAGATATTCTCGCGAAAATCGCTAAGCGTGCACCGTTTTCGCTACGTTCGACTACAGACTTACACCCGTGTGGAATTTAAATTTTCCTAAAGCGTAGGAGGTTACAGTAGAAGGCGTGGTATTCTCCGAGGGATCCTTAGACAAACCTTTGGAAACTCTCTTTTACACCAATGCTCTCACACCTTCCAATATGAACCATTGATCATATGGAAAAAAAAAAAAACATGTCTGTATATCACACGTGTTGAAAGTGAAACCTTCAAAAAATTAAGTTTCAAACACACACATATGCACAGCTTAGTAGCCAGGAGTGGGGAATACGAAGCAAAGACCGAGAATAGAAAAAAAACTGTATAGCTATATTTTGTCTGATTCTCTCGCAGGCTCAATCCTATATGTCTCTCTCTTTTTCTTTTCTTACTTAGTATTAAGGCCGTTTCTTTGCCCCACTATATTCCCACTATATCGTTTTCTCCCTACATCACCGTGTTTGATTATTTCAAATCACACCCATTCTAAAGAAGTTTTCACTTCAATAATAATTATTATAAATATTGAAATAAAAAAGAAACTTTCGTCAAAGTCCTACCTTGCAACGGGAAAAATATTAAACGTTCGATATAAAAGTTGCAAAGGAAAATTGTCGAAAGATATAAACGTTAAATAAAATGTTAAATACGGGATAGAGGGAAAAGGAGTTTTATTTCGACATAAAACTAACGTCATATGCATATAAACAAATACTCGGGCCGAATTTACGCTTATTTTTCTCTCCTCCCTGTTTAGCCAGGATTATTGAGGGATAAACTTTCAAATATTTGTAATACTCTGTAAGTACAACGAGGCGGGGAGGGATTGGTGCTCGTGCTCGTGCTCGTGCTCGTGCGCGCAAACTCCTCGCACGACCGAATTACGAGGCAAACACAATCGATGTCAATTTCTTTCCTTTTTTTTTCTTTTTTTTTCTCTTTTTTTCTCTTTTTTTCTTTTTTTTTTTTTATTATACCTTGGCAAACTCAGTGTACTCGTTGTCGTTCCATGCCACGCGCGCATTGACCCGAATATACATCGTGTTTGCTCTCTTAGCGTACTTCCGGAAGCAGCAATCAGGCAGCCCGAACTAATGTAAACGGCCGACGCGCACAACTTCGACTTTTCCATGTTTTCTTTCTTTCTTTCTTTCTTTCTTTCTTTCTTTCTCTTTTAGAAAAGTTTGACTTCGCTTCGACTATTTCCTAAATTTTTCTCTTTTTCTTCTTTTACCTTCTTATTTTCAAAAGGATCTTACACAACGAAACGAGGTTAATGAGATCGCTAGAAAATCTTACGATTATTTATTTTCATTGATATTTATCCTCTCTTTAAAGACTTCACCATTTTTCTTTGACAATTTTCATTTGTATAAATGAAATCAAATATTCGAAAAGTTCAATCAGCAAAGTAATTATAATCTTCTTCAAAGAGATCATTCGTATAATTCGCGATGGAACGTTTATTTTAACCTTGCTAATATTTTACCAATTATAAACTAGAAAAAAGTACTTGCTGAGCATTTGCAAAAGACAAATTTTCATCTTCATCGATATTTCATGTTACTCATCAAGTATTCCTTTTAACTTATTTTATCTACATTTTATTTATCGATTTCTAATTATTTGTCATTTTCCATAATGGTACGTTGATAACAAATTTTGCTTTGTTAATATTTTACAATAGATTACTTTATCTTTTTTAAATAGTTTTCACCATTTTCAGGCAATTCGTTTAACTCGCTAGAATACGAAACGGAAAATGAAAAGCGTTAGACGGTATTCCGTAGAACTTGGTAAGCTTTGCACGCGATCAGTACGGATACCAACAACGAAAGGGAGAAAGAGATGAGCGTTGATCCAAAGTTAAGTAGTTTTCTGGATGTTATATGGAATTTGTACACGATATATTATCTACCCTCGTGATAATTTAACATAAATTGTTTCTACGTGTAAAGTTTACTCGGTTAAAACTAAAGATCGATAGAATTAGTTACACACACACACATACACATATGTAACACGCTTTGTGTCGGAAATATTATCACACCTGATCAAGCTAGTTTAACCCTTGTTCAACGAGACTCACTCTCTCTCTCTCTCTCTCTCTCTTTTGCGAAAGAAACTCGTTCAAAGTAGCACTCGTCCTACTTTGTATTTAGGTTTATCGTTAAGGTAACAGCCCGGAACGAACGGACGAGAAACGTGTTATTTCGATCCGTTCGTTTGGAATTAATATAGAAAGAAAATTTATCAAATATTCCATTAAACTAAATCTTGTTCCATAAATTTTACGAATCCGAATCAAATCGTTAATTATATTTAGAATTATATTTGAAATTGTTGAAAAAGTAATTTAGAAAAAACAACCTAATAATAAACTGATCAAAGAGAATTAACAAAACATGTATAAATCACAAAATACATTTTCACTATGCTGCAAACACCTTTCCTCCCACAGACACATATACATAACCTATATTTGATTATTTTTCATTGAACTGGCAATCGCTCGTATAATTTATTTATTCGTTTTAAAAACGTACTCTAGCTAACGTTTCATACATCCTTCCTTCCTATTATTATCGAGGCACATTATATTCAAGTCTCTTGGAATATTAGCAAAATGATTGATCGGATGTTTACCCGATGAAACATTGAAGTACCATTTGAAACCCATTTTAAATATAAACCTACTACTGCACGAATGAAAAAAGAGAGAAACAAAACATTGGACAAAAAGCATCGATCATATTTTATGTAACACGAAAACGGTCTATCAAACGGAAATTTCATGACGGATCTTTCTCACTCTCCCTTTCTCTTTTTCCTGCTCTCTTATCTTCTCGTATCAAACGAAAAGTCTACGCACTATAAAACCCGATATATCATTCTCCTCGTGCTTTTTCCTTTAATCTCTTTGCTATCAAAAAAAAAAAAAAAAAAAATAGAATAAAATAAAACAATAGGAAAAAGAAAGGAAGGAAGAAAACAGGGAAAAGAAAAGACAAAATAAATCCTGTGCTAATCCATAAACGAAACGAAATGAAACGAACGAACGAACGAACGAACGAACGAACGAACGAACGAAAGTGCGTTTTTCAAACGAGCGATCCTTGAACTGCTAAAAGAGCCCTTTCATCATAACGATTTGAAATAGACGTGAAAGGGAGAGTGAGATAAAAAGCACAAATCTATCTATATATATATACTCGCGAGGGAGTTTGAGAATCAACGTTATATTTTCACAGCCATTAATTTTCACAATGTTTTTCGCTAATACGATAATAGAAAGTGTAATGGCAGGACATTCACAATAGCTAATAGCTTATAATTTAATTAGTCTTAACGTTGAAGAATATTTTCAATGAAAATTTGAAAAAAAAATACCAATGGTTTGATATTATTGATACGATTAGATTTTGTTGCTTTTGAATAAAAAAAAAATTAAAAATGAAGTAAAAATGAATGCAGAATTGTATAACCGGTTCGTAGGAAAATAAAAGCAACCGAGCTTTACTTTAAACGAACAACTTAACAGAGTTTATTCGATTATGCGATGTAATATCGAGTTATATTTATATGGAAAACTACGAGGAAAATGAAATTTCATATCCGCTCTCTTCTCCCAGCGTCTCTCGTTCTCTTTTTCTAATTCACCTTTGCCGTAAGAAGAGGTTGCTTGAAAAGACAAAACGAAGAGAAATAGAATAAAATATCCTCTCTTATTTTCTTTCTTGATCAAATTAAAATGAATGTTGAAACATTTAATCGAATATATTTGATCGTTGAAAAAAATGAAAGAAAATACGTACCTTAATCGTACCACCAAAAGGATAAAGAAGTGGGGGTGAATATAAAACGTTTCTCTTTTCTCTGAGGTCTTTATCGATTCGGCTGCTAGATAATTCCAAAAGACTGGCCAAAAGGAAGAAGAGGAAGAAACGAACACCGGTCATCTCGGATCACTAAACACAAAGTTCATACATAAAATCAAAAAACACAACAAAACAAAAAATAGGCAAAGAAATGGGGGAAGAAGAAAAAGAGAGGGAGGAAAAAACGATATCATTCGTTAGTCACGACCCATATATGCAGGACCGTTTCGCAACGATAAACTAAAATAATAATAATAATAATAATAATAATAATAATAATAATAATGATGATAACAACATTCGACGATATACGTCTCTATATTATATATAATGTGTATATGTATATAGAATATCCGTTTGTGTTCGACGATACGGCAAATGTTTCATGAAATGCGTCAAGTTATTTCACGTGCGAAACTGTAATAAAAACCTAGACGAACCTGTGCGATAAAATGAAATTGTGAATCTGTGGAGCGAGGGTGTGTGTATCGTCGTTTCGATAAACGTCAAATCGATGTTCCAATAAATAAATATATTTTTTTTTTAAATGTATGCACTACAGGAGTTCAAATGATTTCACTATCTAACGGAATAATCAAATGTTTACTTCAATTTTCTTTATATTTATAAAAAGAACAAAATATGTATTATAAAAAAGAATATAAAATAAGAACTAGCGGATGAATAAATAAACTTTGCCTACTCTTCAAAAATTCTTTTAACGAGTGAAAGAGAATGAGAGAGGATGGAGAATGGGGTTGCGAAAGAGGAAGAAAAAATACAGAAAAAAGAAGAAGAAGAAGAAGAAAAGAAAAGACATCGGAGATATTCCGATCGAGAAAAAAGAGTTTTCGAGTGAAGAGAGGGATTCGCCACGCTCGTTCAAAGTTTTCTTTCTCTCGAACGAAACGGTGAAAGTTTAGGAGACTTGGGGATGGTTAGAACAGGGATAGGGTGAGGACGGGGGATACCAGGTGAACGTTTTATGAAAATCATGCGGAAAACGATACTTTTCTTATTTTACTTCGGAAAGACAGAGAGAGAGAGAGAGAGAAAATAAAAATAGAGAAACTAGCAGAACAATTTGCGTTCAGGTGTGCGTGTGGGTATTTTTTAATATAGGTGAACACATTAAAATACCTTCAAATAAACAGAAACAGAAACAGAAACAGAAAATAACAAATCTGACAGAGATAAATCCCATAGATCAGTATAGTAATTACGGTAATAGTAGGTAGAAAGGTAGAAAGCTGATAAACGAAGATCGGTGTTCGGTCGGTAAGACCAAAGTAAAGTATCTTTTCTTAGATACACGAGACAGACTTCGTTTTCCATTAGAAGTGAACACAGGGGGAAAGCCGGAATCGCTCGGTCAGCGACTCGACACCTGCGATAAATTGTGGTCTCTACGTTCTGCAGAGTTTCAAGACGCGCTTGGGTGCTTCTCTAACGTCTGTTACCAAAACCTTACCGCTACTACTACTAGTGATCTTTCAACATTCAACTTAGCTATTACTAACAAAAAATGCCCAATATTAATGTCCGATATCGAAAACGATTGTAACATCAGAATGCTTTGGTCAAAACGAAAAGCCTACTAAACACGAATTTACAAAAAATTTCTAATTGATCGGTCAAATGAATTTTCACCATACAACTTTCTCTAAAAAGCCTACGACGAAGAAAAGAAGAAATATTAAAAGAAGATGAAGGGGATGGATCGTTCGTTAGAAACTATCAAGATAGTTCAATAACTCCTTTTCATTCTCCTCAAGCGAAAGATTACACGTAGCTTTTATTATTTAATAGAAAATTCGATGCTAGTTACTATATCAAAAGAGAGAAAGATAAAGGAAGATTATCGTTTAGTTTCATGGCTGAGAGATGATCAAGAGCATAGATAATAGGTATTCATAAACTTATTAACTTAACAAACTTTATAAACTTTTTACCTTTTCTTTCTTTTCATATAAATATATTAAAAAACCATGTGAAATGAATTCATACGTTGTCAAGTTGTAAGTTACTCTTATTGATCATTCTCCTGTATCAAAAGCAACACATGCGATCGTGCGTGATTGTCGAAACTTAATCATCAATAAGAAAGAAAAGTAAGAGAGAGAAAGGAATAAGAAACAAATAAATGGCTTCCGAGATACTTTAAGCTTTGCTTTCTTTTACCTCAAGCGAATGGATTTCGAGGTATCTAACTTTCAATGCCGGAAACCAAAAATAATTGAAAGAGTGAAAAAGAGAGAAAGAAAATCAGTGTATTTACGAATCGAAATAAACTAGTAAAAGAAGAGAGAAGATGTTCAAGGAAAATAAAAACGGATAGAAGTAAGAGGAAGAAAATGAAATGAAATAAGAGAAAGTAAAAAGAGAAGAAGACGAAGACGAAGACGAAGACGAAGACGAAGATGAAGAAGAAGAATAGAAAGGAGAGAATAGCACATCGTATATCGCTTTACTCGGGTATCTTGTCGGCAAGTCCCGACAGGGAAATTTACTTAGGACTTTTCCCATTTCTCTCGCCTTCGCTTTTCATGCTAGAACACCTTGTTGTTTTTCTCTTCTTCTTTCTTTCTTTTTCTTACGATAAAAACACCAAATGATCGAGGAATATCGTCCGGTTGGTTGGTTATAAGATCATTTTTCTTTCTACCTTTGTATGTGATTTTTGATTTGATAATTCTTCGATTAAATTGCATTAAAGAAATAATAAAAAGGGTAAAATAGAACAGGTGATCGGTTAAGGTAAGGAAAGATTGGAAGCTTAGGAAATAAAAGCATCCTGGCACGGAAGGTTGCCCTGGTTGCAGCGGAATATCGCAATTGCGACAATCATTAAGATTTCCAGTCGGTTCATGCCAACTTTACAACTCGCGATAAAACGATCATTGTGCAGTACATAAAAAGTAATCCAGGGAAAGAGAGAGGGACAGAGGAGAGAGAGGGATAAAGAAAAGCTTATTTTCTGGCACTCAAAATAAACCTCTCCGATGGTCCATTACTATTATTATTATTATTATTATTATTATTATTATTATTTATTTGAAATGAAATTGTATATTGAAAAAAATGTGAAATAATGAGACTATAGATGAATCGTTTTGGAAGAACGCGAGAGGTAGTAGAAGGGCAATTTCGAATTTATCCAGGTGAATGGTAGGGGTTCGTTGATATAGCTATTTCTGTTGGTTACGTACATGAGTGTGTTTTGAAGAGTGGACTAATCGAGACTCGAGATCGATCTTGAACAGACGGCTAGAAGAAAGCACGTGCTGTTTCGCGACCTTCCATTCCCCCAAACCCTTTCGCTCGTTTCCCTAAGGAAATAAGATCTCGGTGAATGATTTCAGAGGTGATTCGATGCAATCGGGATACGTTAACGTGCAGTCAACGCCAGATTTGCCCAATCTTTCAGCATCCCTGTACAACTCCTCAACGTTCCGATGAGTGGAATTAATCGAGGTTGCCAAGTCTTCCGACGGCCTGCCGACAAAAATCGAAATTCGATCGTTTTCCCATTCCTTACTAAAGTCAACCCAAACCAACCCCAACTAACCCCTTCTCTTCTCTTCTCTTCTCTTCTCTATTCTCTTCTCTTCTCTTAATTAACATTACAAATTTATCATTAACGGTCAAATGTTTCCAATGCCTTGCGTTCCAATTTTTTTATTCTCAAATTTCATATTCACAATTTTCTTCACATTTTTTAAGCATAATATTAATATTGAAACTTAAAAAAAAAAAAAAAAAAAAAAGAAATTCGCGGTCGTTGAAAAAGAAAATAGAATAAAAAAGAGAAAAGTTAGAGATGAGTGATAATAAAAATGTTAGTAACAAAATGGGGGCTCAGGTCTCTTAGGAAAATAAATTAATTTAATACATCCTCGCGATATTATCGTTCTAGAGTTCGTGTGTGAGATATAAAAAGAACAAGAGAATGAGCTTCTTTCCGGTTGGTGTAAGATATTTCGAAAAATAACCGTGAAAGAGGAGAGTACTGAAACGACTGTGAAACGTGATGAGAATGAAACAAGAATGTCGTTTCGATATCACGAGAAGACGAGAGGAAGAAGAAAAAGATAAGAGAAGAAATAGAAGAAGAAGATAACAAATGAACAAAAACAAGAAGAAAGAGTTTATCATTGGTATCTAAAAATGAAATAGAAAAGGATAGAAAAGGATAGAAAAGTCGTGAGTTTTTCGCGACAAATTAATTAAGACTTTTTCTCCTTCTTTTGTCCTTTTTTTTTAACGGTTAGCTTTATCGGTTAGAATAGCAGGAGAAAAAAAACTCCTCTCTCTTTTATTTATCGTTGTTTATTTTAATCGAAGTAATGAGACTTACGTTAAAATGAAATGTATCGTTTCGACGATTATATCATCATCATCATCATCCTTCCTGAGAAGCGGAATTTCAGCGAGTTCGCAAATACTTCTTAAAAGGCATTCTCTTCCATTTCCCCAACCATATCTGCAAAAATTCGCATTTATAATATTAATCTATTAAGTATGAAATGTCAAACTTTGAACAATAAATAATCAAAGTAATCGAACGTTTAATATTAGGTAAAAAAAAAAAAGAAAGTAAAAAATGGTAAATAAAGGTTGGAATATAGATAAGTTGAAAACAGTGGTGGAACTTCGTTGACGCAGATTAAACGAGCTCGACGAATTATTCCAACGAAGAGGCACTCTTCCGGTAAGCTTTATCCTAGCTAATATTTTAGCCCGGCCACGACGTTGTCGTTGACCGAGCTTGATTCTCCTTCGTTAACAAACTGTAAACTGCTGAACGCAGTAACCTTACCCCTTGGTGTCTTTCACGAACATATTTCTTTCCAAGAACATTTTATTTTTAATATCATCTTCCAGTTATGTTATAAATTATACCACTCTCGGTATTAAATGTCTATCACATTTTTTTATCTTGTAATATCATTTTGATCAAAGTCGCAAAATTACGTTATTATTATTATTATTATTATTATTATTATTATTATTATTATTATTTTGTTCTCTCGATAATGGAAAATCAGTAAGAAAAATAATTCGATAAACCTTTTTGCTACGAATGTACCATGATAGGATACCGAATATTTCTGACACTTTCTTAACTCTCAAAGCTTTATCATGGAAGGGAAACGTCCTCGTCCTCGTCCTCGTCGTCGTCGTCGTCGTCTACGATGGCCGCCGTTGTTACCCGTATATCCTAGACGCCATACTTGAATCTCCTCTTCTTGCTAACGTAATTGCCTTATGTCCCAATTAATTTACCTTTAGAATTCTCTCCTCCTTACCTTGCTTCTCTGACTCCTTTGATCCTTCCAAGAGCCGATACTTGCTAACAAAACTAGCTTCGTCAGAACATCGAAAGCAAACCGAACCATCTTGTCTGCTTTCCTTTCTATACTAAACTTAAGCTTCAAATACGCCTTGATTTTTCGCCTTTACAAAATCTACATATCTATTTTCATTTGATGATGCGTTGAAATAGCATCAATCAAAAATAGAATCTCAATAAACGTGGATGTGGTGGTAACATGGTCGATGCCAAAGTTAACTTAATTACAAATTTATTCGTTCACTTTAGCTATGTTTACTGATTCATCGGACAATTTTGAACGGTAATTAGCGCTACGTTTGTTCTTCCGCTTTCCAAATCTAAATCTACCTTTTTTTTTTTTTTTTCATTTTTTTATACTAATTGGTCTATCGCTAATCCTACATTAAATAAAGAAAAAAAAAGGAGCAAAATTTTGAAAAGAAATTGGTCATTTTGGTTTTTTGAATAAAATGTACAAGGTACATTTATGAAGTATTGTATAAATAGAAACTTACTCTTCTAAAAAATGTTCAATTCTCGTGTAGGTATCTCGAAGATCGAGATCTCTAATGTGTCTTGAAAGGACGACCGTAGATTCAAAATCCGATACGTTGGATGGCAAATAATAGTTGTATTGAAATCCGGAAGAAAATACGACGCTTCCTCTTTTATTTGATCTCACAGGTACTGATGCACCTAAAGTGATCTACCAAAAAAAAAAAAGAACAAAATAACCAAACAATAATATTTATTTAATAATAGGCGTGAATAGATTTATTGGATATGCATATACTCGAACGAATAAAAATCAAACTTCAAAAGTAACTACCTGTCTTTCTCCTCTAACTTTACTTCTCGCAAAATTCAATGAAAACTTGAAAATTGAAACGTCAATTTTTCACTGAACAATCTTCAACTTGGAAAATTGAATTTAAGACTTTTCGAAGAGAACCACCCAAGACACAATTCGTAATAACTGTCTCGTGAATATTTGCGAGCGTCTGTGCGAAAAAAAGCAACAAACCAAAAGGAAAAATATGAAAAATAAATTGTTCTCTTAACGTTCGAACATCAATTACTCGTACATTCTTCAATCTTACGTTTTTCTTACTGTTATTCAATAATAAAAATGTTCAATAATAATTTCTAAATCTAGCCGAGAAATAAAAATGGTTCAATGAAAAAGTTCAAACTTTTTTGACAATTTGCAATTTTCGTTGAAAAATTAAAGAGATAAGTAAAATTAAAGAACAGAAAAGAAAGAAAAGCAAGTGAAAGAAAGATCGAAGTAATAGAGATGGTAAAGTTCGACTTCCGAAACTAAAATCGTTCTTTTCAAATTCCCTGGGCTTCTCTTTCTCTCTCTCTCTCTCTCTCTCTCTCTTTTTGTCTTTGTCTTTTATCCTCCAGTGACTCAGAAATCGAGTAATCGTGTGAACGGGATTTAATGTGCTTCATATCCACCAACTACAAGAGAATGCGCTTTGCTTTAATTCAATTGAATCTATCTCTTTCTCTCTTGTTCTCACCTCTTTCTGGTTCTACATTTCTCTGATTCTCTCGAAAAATGTACTTCGTAATAAACGCAATATAAGAAAAGTACACGCAAACGAAAGCTTCGTGTTCGTTCAATCATTTGAAATTATTCTAAACAAAATTCTGATGTATTTGGAATAAGAAAAAAATACACATCTAATTATAAGAGGGAAAAACTGGGACGCCTCGTATATTTTCTACGTAATAATAATAATAACTATTATAAAAAGTATAGGAATGTTTTTTAATGATGCTGTTACGCGTGTACGATGTCAATTCTTGAAGGAAGTTGATTGATCGTTGAAAAGAAATCAAAAAAAGTTTCACGAAATAATGAAAATACACGTGGTAGGGTTTTAACGAGTACGCGCGTCTTTCTCAATTGAAAATGATGAGAAAAATCATCTTGTTAAGCCTGCTAGGTTATTTTATTCTCTACTTGCGGTAAAACGAAAGGGTGGTTGACCCTTCGGCATCGTCATATTTCTATCTTTTTCTCTCTTTCTCTCTCACCTTTAGCAACGTAGAACAAACGATCCGAAGCCCGTGTAAAGAGGTCGGTGTAATCATTCGTGCAACTCCCCTGCGAGAGAGTAAAGTCTTTACTAATTAAAAACTCCACGGAGGCATTTGTAAAGAAACGAGTAAAAAAAAGGAAAAAAAAAGGGAAAAAAGGAAAAAAAAAAGAAAAAAAAGGAAGAGAAGAAGAGGAAGAAGAAGAAAAAAGGAAAAAGAAGGAAGGAAATCATTTCCTTAAAAACGCTCCGTTTTATTCAGTCGATATCGTTCTTAATTATGGTGACAGGAGGAACAGAGATGAAAAGAGAAGGATACAAAATAAAACAAAGAAAATGAGGAAGATGAGATAGAGAGGAGGTGAGACGAAGGGTGAGACGAGTGGTGAGACGAGTGGTGAGACGAGTGGTGGTGAGACGAGTGGTGGTGAGACGGGGGGAAAAGGAGAATGATACTTTTCCGTGATTCTCTGAGCACCAAATCTCAGTTTATACTTTCGAAGTTCCCTCGTTTGAAAAACTTCTTGAGAAACGTTGTCGTTTCTACGAAATGGTATATAGCTACTATTTTTTTTATTTTTTTTTTTTTTCCTTTTCTTATTGACCAGTATATATTTCAACGGTAAGAAAAACAAAATCCAAACAGATTCGTACAAATCAGGTCTATTAATTAATTAGGTAAAAAGCTTTGTTTTTTATTCGACAAATTCTCGTCTATTATTGCAAAAAGTCCCTTGGGAAAGCGCGACACACCAGGGAACAATTTTTTCTGTTGCACGATTTATCTTCCGACCGATGGTACAATGGTTCCTTGTATCCCGTTACTTAAGGCAACCATTCTTACGATTCCTCGTATTCGACACCCCCAACCAACCCTCCTTCTTTCTCTTTCTATCTAATAATTCGATTACAATTGTCTGATTTCGAAGTAAACAATAATGTATTATGAAATAATGTATAAATTAATATAACAATATTTACCTGAAAAACAGAACCGGAGGGATAGAGAAGAATGGCTTTGGTCCTCGAAGTAAATGAGAATAAAAAAAGTCCGTAATGTATGAGAATGGTCGTTGGTAAAAATGATGTAAGTTGCATCGAGGAAACGATAACGATGGCTGGTGCCAGCACTAAAACTGTTTTCCACGATGCGTTATAATCTCGACGACTAACATTGCCATAGTCGTTTCGTTCGTTCGTTCGTTCGTTCGTTCGTTCGTTCGTTCGTTGGTTCGTTCGTTGGTTCGTTCGTTCGTTGGTTGGTTCATTCGTTCGTTCGGTTGGAGAATATCGGAAGCAATCGTGGCTCCTTTCCCTTTTTCCTTCACCTCTTTCTCCCTCAGCCAACCCGAACCACCACCTCTCAGGACGAGTAATTGGAACTGAGCCGACATATTGGTCCACTGGTCAATGAACCGTGTACGGCCTCTTATTGCATTGGTCGAATTTTTTACGATTTCACGAATACACGATAATCATTGGTGCGGATATTTCTCGATAAGTCACAAGGAACTAACCAATATTTGCATTCCATTTAAATGATCTGACAAACTCCCTAAACAAGAAGAAGAAATAAACACCCAGTGCTTATCTTTTTTTCTTTCAAATAATACTAGAGTTTGAAGTAAAACAAATGTTAAAACGCGTTCGCGCGTTTACTTTTTCGTATATTTGTTAAATGTTTAAGTAAACTATTTCCAACTGGTTTGATTTATTTTGTCGATTATTATGTCTCATGTCAGCGACATGTTTTTTGTAACGATATTATAATTCGTTTCGACAAACCTTGAATAACAAAAAGATAGTACATATATGCTAGGAGCTTAAAAATTGTAGAAAAAGTATATTAAAACAGAAGGACAAAGAGAAACGGACAAAATTGAAGTTTAGCAAGTTTTCTTTGGAGATACGAGTATCGAGATAGACCGTAAAGATGTCCGATTGTCGTTCTCTTGAAAATCTCTTTCGACGAGAAAAAGGAACTTTTCTAACAGCACGTTCCTCGGTATTACATGTAACAATAGCTCTCAAAGTACTTACATACACACATACATAACTGCATACTATTCTTACAATGTACGTGTAGAAATGAACGAGCTCAAAATTGTTAAGTAAAGAATAAAAAACTTTGTTCGAGCTTATTTACGACTATGGGAAAGAAAGCACCAAGACAATAACTTCATATCGAACAAGAAAGAAACATCAAATTTGTCCCCCATCAGTCGACAAAGTATATTATTAGTATACTTTTCTTATCAAAAAATTATCACCTTTTATCTATTTACAATAAAATAATAGTATTGTTGTAACAATATTGTCGTTGTTTAAATTATTAAGTAGAACAAATTGCAGATATTTTCTTATTCCTATTTTCCAGCAGACCTTTGATAAAAGTATCTCAACTACGGTGACCTTTTTTTGCACACAAAAAAAGCTACAATAACCAACCAACACACACCGAGTCACATTTAAAATTCCAAGATAACTTGTTACTTTCGAGAGTCAACCTAGCCGCGTTAGTTAGTGACACATTTTGCATTTTCTTCTTTCTTCTTCTTTTTTCTCTTTTTATTAAATAAAAGAAAGAAACATTCTCATTATACAAAGTTTTCGCTCGTTAATTGAAATGAAATTAATAACATTGTTGTTACTTTTTCGTTTGTAGGGGTAGAAGAAAACAAAATGAAAAAGATTTTCTATAAATTTGTTGCAGGTCGAATGAAATTGAAAAAAAAAAAATAAAAAAAAAAAGGGAAAGCAATTGTGTATGATAAGTTTAAGTGAAAGATGGTGGTTGTGCCTAATCCGTGATCTCGATGAGATTTTAATTCAACTTCGGTCGTTAATCTCTCTCTCTCTCTCTCTCTCTCTCTCTCTCTCTCTCTCTCCCTCTCGGACGAAAACGGAATTAATTAAAGCTGCTTAAACGACCGGCTGGGACGGGGCAATTATTGGATTTACAACGCTATCGCTATCGTTCACAAGATATAGGAGGAAGAGAAGGAACCCGAAGGTGGCTCGGAAAGGTAATGGGGAAAGGGTTAAACCAATACAAACTTATCCCCACTCCTAGATAATTCCACCTTATTCGGAATCATCTAACCTATATGATATAATACACGTAAAACTAATCTCTCCAACTTCTAACATCTAACTATCCCTTTTGAATCTTTTTTTCGATCGACAATATCTGGGAAAAAGCAGAAGAGGCATTCTAAGTGGTTGGTAAGAAGGAAAAGCATTGCCATCATCACCTCTATTTCCCTCGGTGTTTGACTTTCTTCTCTCGTTTCTCTTCTTCCTTAGACGTTTATAGCATTCTTTAAATCTACGATTACTTTTGCTTCTTTGCACGAGTTCTTATTTATTCGATCGGCTAAAGACTTATAGGGTGCTTCTTTTTTTCTCGTTAAAGCTCCCGATAACTATGCTACGAAAGTATAAGGTGCTATGGAAAGAAAATAAGGGCCAGAAGTATAAGTAAGTAGGTACTAAAGAAAAAGAAACAAAGTGTTTTTAAGAAAGAACAAAAAGTCATTCGATTATAGTATTAGATTTTGTTATAAAAGAGAATAAATTAATTTTTTCTCTAAAGATGAACGATAAGAATTTGTTGGTATAATAAATCGAAAATAAGTACGAATAAAGTTATGTTAATGGAGATGTTCTATGCGTTATCACGAAACTTTTCAATTCAATGAATCCTTTAAAAAGATGCTTAACCATGAATAGAGAGAGAGAGAGAGAGAGAGAGAGAGAGAGAGAGAATATACGCGAGTACCGATAGAGAATGATTTTCAATGAATATTCATACTCATATTTTATTAGACGTTTAACCGTGACTCCTTCGACGATTCGTCACCTTTCTTTTTTCTCTTTTTTTTTCCCCTTCTCGCTCGTTCTTTTCTTTTTTAAATAATTAACGGAACGATCATGAGAGTTAGACTTTTATCCTCGCGTTAACACGCTGCACGTTTTCTCATCTCTCTTTTTTTCTTTATTTCATTCTTTCTTTCCTTCTTTCCTTCTTTCCTTCTTTTCTCAAGCTTTTAAACACGCCACGTACTTGGCTCTACCGCACGATAATGGGCTACGCTTTTTAAAGTACTATAATACACTACCATTATCGTTTTGCAACCAGTTTCTATCGTCCACTAGTGCAAATTCTTTTTTTTAGTTTTTTTTTTTTTTTTAGTTTTACGTCCTGCTACATGATTTAAACTAAATGTTTTATCAAATAGAATGATAAAATATGAATATTCAATAAGGCTAGTAGTTAAAGTATAAAACTGAAATTGAAATTGAAATTGAAATTGAAATTGAATTTGTCTTCAAGGTTTCATAGTTATTCGTTCTTCCTATACTTTGACTACCAATATTCGGTTAATACTGCGTTATTACTATATTAATGAGATAATAAAAAAAAAAAATTTCAAACTTGAGAGAAAGTGAAAAAAGAGAAGAGAAAGAAATCTCTCGATTTGGATGAAACGTTCCAATTGGTAAAAACAACGAACCTTAGACACTCAGTGCATTTCTTTTCCTTCAATTAAAAGAAAGATTCATTTTCATTTATCTGATCTATGAATACCAGAGCTAACGCGATATCCCTCTTAAACGAACTTTATTTTAACCATCCATCTTTATCATGAAGAAAACTAATTATCCCTTTTTAAAAGAATCTCTTTCTCTGCCTGTCTGAAACCTTTTTCATGGGTAAATATACTTCTTTAAGAAAATAAGCATATAATGCTGCGTTACATTTCTGTACAATGTTAAAAAGAAAATTTTATTTGTAAATGTCCTAATGAAAGCTCATACGTTCGATAAATTGTCTCGTAATCCATGCAATCGTAATATTGATCGAAATTTATCGAAAATCGAATACATTTAGAGAAATAGAGTAACGTGTTCAATTCGGTTTGCCGATGCTATCGATTTATTGATGATGACTATAGACGGAGAAGGAGGAAGAGAAGAAGGGGTAGGAAAAAGGGATAGGAAAAAGGGAATACAAAAGTAGAAATAAGCGGAAAATCTCTCCCCATCCATCTATCTATCTGTAGGATATCCAGATATCTATATGCTATATTTTTCTATATTTTTCTGTCTATTTATATATACTTTTATTATTCATTAATAAAATGATAAATTCGATAGAAGTAAGATTACAAAATAAGTACATAAAATCAAATTCATGAAAATTTCTTATTGGCGAATAAAATCAGACAGGAAAAAAATGTAGAAAGAAAGATTCGCCAATTCCATGAAGATAAAATCGCAAAAAAAAAGCAAAAACTGGAAGAGAAGGGTTGATCGAATGAGCGGTAGAAACGCCAGAAATTCTTTAATAACCTACAATTTTAACATTCCTCGTTTCAAGTGAGAGTAAAACAGAGAGAGAGAGAGAGAGAAATATATATCAATATATATATATAGAGAGAGAGAAAGAAAGAAGGGATGATTTTCGATCATACTTTTAGGCAAATGAATGTTGGAAAAAGTGTAAAGAAGAAAAGGAATACGAAGAAGAGAAAATAGAAGTTTGAAAAGGTAGCTGGTTGCCTTTGCTCGCCCACTTGCTCACCCACTTGGTCGCCCACTTGCTCGCCCACTCGCTTCCTCGATTTTCGAATGACGTTGCAGAAGGATCGTAAAAGTGCGCATATTGATGAACGGAGAAAGGATAAGAAAAGATACTTTCGGTGTCAAAATGAAAAAGAAAATTTATCGAGGAAACGAGAAGAACAACAAATCGATCTAATATTTTTCATCTGCTCAAACAAAGAGAAAACAATAATGAAAATGCATACGTTGTTGTTACACATATTTTATTATTATTATAACAATATAGATTTAATTTGCTATCCAGCTATAAATATGTTGCAAACCCAACAATTGAATTTCACGTTAAATACTTGATTTCCATTTGGACGCTCGTAAAAATTCTAAAGTGAACGAACCTCCCCTTCTCCTTAAGGGGGTAGAGTTCTCCTAAATCTCAGACAACGTTTTAAAAGTTATAAACAACAGCACCCGAGCGAGTAATAACGTGGACGAACGAACCGTGCTTTCTTCAGCTTTCGCGTTCAGAACTTTTTTACGATGGGTGTCGCTTATCGTGCACTCCGACAATGAGATTACAAATCTAACGCAAATGAACTTCTTCAAAATTCGGAATTCGTATTTGTTCATTTTCATTTAAAATCTATTGAAATGTATATCAAATAAAAACTATTAGTTCGTGAAAAAAAAAAATAAAAGGGTTGAAAGATTCAGACACGTAGGACCGTTGAAAATATGTCTAGCACACTCCTGCGGCATTCCGGATAAAGGGCGTGGCAGTTTTCAGCCGCTACCTGCTTGCCCAGCTGCTCGGCTGCCCTGTACTCTC